TATGCCTGATACCTCAGTTAACGCAGACATCTAATTTTCTCCACTGTACTTAAACACCACTGGAGTCATTCCATCAGGCCCCGCTGCTTTACTTTGTTTCGGTTTAGTAACAGTTTTTGTAACCCCAGTTGTCGACGGATAACCTGTGTCTGTATCCCATTCAGGGAAGTGTCGTATTCTGGGTAGTTTGAACGTGGCTTTTGGCCAGTTAAATTGCTCCTCAAACTGTTCTTTCCAGCGTTCCAGTCACCTCTCTTGGGAACTAATTAGGGCGCCACTTTTCTTGGATATTGCTATACTAATTACTAGCCTTTACCACTTGTTCTCCTGATAAGTCTAAATACGTGTCTATTGTCAACAATCGCCTATGCCTTTTCCATCCCTTTGGCCTTTGTCGCCCACCACTGTTCACGGTAGTTATGAAAACTTGTTAGTTTGTGTTTAAGTAACTTTCGCTTCTTATAATATTTGGAGCTCACCGGAATCCATCTCCTTGCGTCAGTCAGTTTGGATGAGGTGGTAGAAATCCAAAGGATCTCAGCAACTTCTCTGTTAACAATTTTTATATGTCCATTTAGACTTATGCATAAACGTGCTCGAATCAGGGCGTGATAGGTGTCTAGGCGCGCGTTCAAGAAGGAGCGGCAGTCTTCTACTGATCCTCACCAACGATATCCTATCGCTATGTGGTCTATATGAGTCCGGAGTAGATTTGGTGATGGAGGTCACCAGGTCACGTAATGTCTCTTTTTGTGGCGAAATTCAACTGTGGCGTCCCAGAAGTGATAACTCTCCAATTACTTTGAAAGCGTGCTAGTCGTTGGCTAACAGCACCTGTCAAATTCATAACTGAAATATCAACCATATTCACCTACTGAGGAGCAAATTTCACTCAGATCACGTTTTTATATACTGTCTTGGCACTGTATTAATAGCTCGTTAGAGTTAGGATTAGGGTTAAGGTAAGTAATGGGGTTAGGGTAAGAGTCATAATCAGAGTAAGGATACGGGGCCAAGTTAAACTTTAAGCACCACTAACTACCAATCAGCGAACGACATCGAATGGTCCAACGAGGTTCATGAACGTGAGGTTGTTCAAGGTTGTTTAACGCTTGATTCGTTTCAAATGCGTGCTCTAACGAAGTTACGGTTGCAGTTTGAGGAGGATGAGATTTTGAGGTATTGCCTGGATTCGGGGTTGCTTAGGAAGGAGAGGATTTGTTCATGTGGTGGTGCCATGAGTTTAAAAAGCTTTAGCAAGTCGATTGATGGATATGTTCATCGTTGTGCAATTTGTTTGAGACGAGTTACTATTAGAGAAGGTAAGCTGATAATTTTATCACTTCGTAGGAGCATTTTTTGGTAGGTCGCATCTCTCCCTAACCCAAATCTTGTATATTTGTAACTTCTGGGTTTTAAAACAGCCTGTGGGAGGCGCAGCTGCTTAAACCGAAAATAGCCTTTTGTCAACAATTCCATGGTGCAAGCAGGGCAGAGACATTGCATCATGGAGAATGGAGGGAATTACTTCGTTGTTGGGCGGAGAATACATCGTCATGCACTTGGACGAAACTGTGTTACTGAAGAAAAATACAACCATGGTCGTAAGCGAGCCAACAATGTTTGGGTTATTGGTTTATATGATACCTCCCTGAGGAAAGGATTCGTGGGGAAAATATCAGTCAGAAAGTCAACCACTTTAATACCTACTATTACTAGACTTGTGAAACAGGGATCCATAGTACATACTGATGAATGGAAAGGTTACAAGTCGCTATCATCTCTTGAATATATTCATCACAGTGAACCATTCCAGTGATTTTGTGGATCCTATTACGAGGACACACAAATTCTGTAGAAGCATCTTGGGGGATCGAAAAATAGGATGAGGGCTATAAATGGATCTCAAAAGGACCTCATTTATAGTCATTTAAATGAATATATGTACAGAATGTGATGTGACTTTTCTATTGACACTCTTATGTTAAATTAGGAGATGTTTCTGTCACTTGTTGGAGAAAGATACCCTACGTAAGAGTTTAATGCAGTTTTTATGCTTCTTTCATCAATACATTTCTTCCTTTATAAAAAATCCCTCCTTCATGTGATTGGCCCGTTGAAAGTCGTTCACTGATTGGTAGTAACTGGTGATTAAGTTTAACTTTGCCGGATTTATTTCTAAGTCACGCCAGAGAAAGATACCCTATTTAATGTGTTCTCATGCATTTTCTTGTAAATATACGTCATTTTTGTGCAAAAATTCCTTGTTTTTATGATTCGTCAGCTGAAAGTCACTCGTCAGTTCCTATCCCCTGGGATGCTATTGTTGAACTTGTTATTGCTGACTAAGAATAGATAATTATCTGAAAATAAGTGTTGGAGACAATCACTGCTGTCGGTTCGTCGGTAGAGAACTCCGCACGTACCACCAATATACTTCTCAGTCCCGCATAACTTCCCTACTTGGACATTGAAGTTGCCTCCTAAAACAACTATACCTGAGCGTTTTGCTTTTTGCAGCAAGCTAGAAGGTTCCTGGTTGAAATCATCCATTAATTCATCCAAAATGCAGTCGGTTGGAGGGTTGGTGGAGACTATGAAAAGACATAGATGGGTAACGCCATCTTTCTTTCTTCTAACGGAGCCGTTCAGACGGACCGCACACATACTGTAGTACCAGAAGGCAAGACACGGAAGCCAAGGTATGTGTTTCATTAATCAAACCGCTATTTATACACGTACAGTTTATATTCTGTAACCAATCACTGAGCGTGTTATTTGGTTTACTTTAAACGATATGAAATAGAATGTTCAAATATATATATTTTTGGTTACAGCTTGATGCCACACCGTATTTTCAGTACAAGTATGGAATTTTCAGCATGGATATCGGTAGCCCAAATTTTGCAGGCCGACCATAGATATCGGGTATGCGTCGGGAGGGGATCGAACCCCGGACCATGTGAATGGTCGGCGAGAGTCCTAACCACTGTGCCACCGACGCACAGTGTATAGTATTCTGTTTCTAACGCCGTTTTGAACTGTGGGAATATGTGAGAATCATATTCCGTTGGCATACATTGTCTGTATCGCAACACCACAATACGACTATCTATCGGGATCTAGTAAAAAATGGTTTTGCCCACCCAGTACTCACTGCTATCCCCACACCTGTGAGACCTCACGAACTAGCTGAAAAGTCTCTTGTCACGCTTAAGGTGAATTTTTCAGATCCACGTTGTTGGCCAGGTAGGTTTAAGTGAATAACCACACTCGGCTCTTGTATGCGTGTCTCCGAAACTAAGCATACATCCTTGGCTCGAGATGCCAGAGTTGCGGCTAGTAATGCCTGTTGTCCTGAAGCTAAATGCTCCAGTATGAAGTTGGCTGCGTAGCTTTAAGAGGCTCTCAGGGGGTGTTTTCCTGGCTCTCAACCTTATTCGTGGTCACACAATGAAATGAAGATGACTGACCAACCTGTTGAATAGTGCTGACAGTATTAGGGAAGCAAGATGATGAGAGTGATGGGTATAAAAGATGATGATGATCAAGAGGGCCTTGTGCGCTTTTGGAGGTGTGTATGCTGTTGTTACTTACCGGCTGCCCACACCGTGGAAGTTGGTCGAGTTGGTGTTGCGTGACTCCAGAGCCCAAGGGACAACTGCTACAAGCTGGTCACTAATGGCATGTTTAAACTGACTTTTTGGGTTACTGACTGTCGGCTACGGATCACCACAAGAAAAGAAGGAATGTAAAAATTTTGGGGTTGATATTTTCTAACTGCCTACAGCAGCCAGAGTGGAGAGACGGTATGGCTGGCATTCTGGTTGTCTGAAGGAAACACATTACTGCCTCAAATCCCTACTCTCCAGCGGTACGCCTATGCCCACAGACCCCAGTGTAGTGTAAAAATTTTTACACTACTTGGCTAACTGCCTTTAGTCTAATCGCTACCCCAACAATCTTCCAAGCATGTTAGGACCTTCAGGGACATTAATTTTAGCCAGTGCAACTTGTTGGATCGTTTCGATTTGCAAGCGTGACCTTCACATCAATTTAGCAGGTGTCAGTTGTGTTCTCCCAGACAGCTGGAGTAAGGGACAGCTGGAAGATCGCACTCAGTGTATCGACTTTTTAGGAGATCTTGGGAAGCTCTGGACGAAGTTCACTGTGCCCAAACTAACTTTCTTTTATTCAGTGTGTTTAAGGACTTAAATACGACGTTCCGAACATTACCAACACAATTCAATATCCTTACCTGATGACGCTTTCGGAGCTAGTGTTTAGATGTGGTAGCGATTCTTGTGCAGATACTCTGCGGAAGCAATTTGCGAATAAAAACTCCCTGTCTTGGTGCTTAACCCTTCTATAGTCAGGCCAATGAATAAGACGCGTTAAAAAGGGCTGTAGCGGTAAATAATTCCCTAAAATTATTGACCACAGCATTCATCACTCAACATTGGATGCTGACCCTCACTGTTTAAGTCGACTTGTTAAACTGAAGGCTTGCGGTCAAGCATCCTCGCCATTTGGTACTCCGTCGCGTCACTTGCGTGCACGATCACTAGCCAGCTAAGCAACCAATACGGTTCACGATTTGGTCCCGAAATATATATCTTACTTTGGACGACGAAATCTGGTCTTTTGCTTTATCTTTGGTACCCGACGAGAGAACACTATAGAAGTTGTTGGTATAAGATCTTTCGTTAGCATACTCCGTACAATTCGCGAACGTCGATACCTTCAGGCTCCAAAGGTCTATTTCAAGACTTTCACGTATCTTCGCAGTGACACCAAAAGAAGTATAAATGTAAGAACTTTTGTTATCAGGAAGCTTTTGTGCTTCATCAGGTGTCACTATCTCTTGTATAAATTGTTGTTGAGTGACACAAGAAATTTTCTGCCATGCTCCGTTGACTAAGGAAAGAAATAAGTGACTTCAACGCGGAATCTGCATACCATCATACGGATTCAGACTGCACGTTCGCCTTCTAGGAAGGTGGCTTTCCAGCTGTCATTTAAAAAGACACACTAAGGGAACGTTATTGAGATTAAATTGTAAGAGAGGTAAGAACCGGCAAAAGAGGTAAGTAAAACGTGAAACAGGTGTTTTACAGAAAACGACTTCAAAACAAAGGGAAGTTTTAGTTTGAAGATAAAAACTGAAGGAATTACTAAGTAACTGAGCTTTAAATTGGGCAGAAGAGTTTAAATAATTCACTCCTTTTGCAAAGACAGCACTTGCATAAAGGCATCAAATACTTTCATTCGTCTCCTCAGCACTTCAAAGCTGTTCTAGAACATGCAAATTATACAGGCATAGATAAGTTATCATATAAATTACACATATTTCTATGTATGCTAACATTAGAGTCAGTCGGAAGAGTCTGCAAAATAGTCTGTCTGTGTAACACATAAAGAGATAGAAATATTGTCTTCGCATTAACAAAAAACCCAGATATCAGATGAGTGTAATACAAATATCTGGGAATAATAAAGCTTGAAGTCAATTTTACTATATAACTTTGTTGTGAACACCATCCTTGACTTAAATTTTTATTGATGTATTATGTTGAGGTCAGTGATATATTTATTCCATTTTTTCAGCAGTCTTGTCGTAGTTTTATAATGGGAAAAAAATTTGATTTTGGATACAAAAACTGGATAAGGTCATTTTGGATTGTTTTACTGCATGGAATAGGGCCGAGGTCGATTCTAGAACTATCCATTGGCGCCATTCGTGTCAGCATGGCAGACTGTACGCGTAAGTTGAGCAATACATTGAAAACTGTTTGAAAACCAGTTGCTTCTTTATTTCAGATCAAGAATACTCCTTGTACAGAATGTTGGCCAGCGTTTTCAAATGGGATAATTCATGGAATTAGGGTGGTTATGAGTTAAATGGTCTGGAGTCCAAATTCATTTCAGTTTTAAGTGTGGGGTTGTTCGACCTCGAATAGAAGGTAGATAGAAGAGTAGACTCAGCAGCAGGATACTAGAAATAGAAAGTATGTGAACATGAAAGGAACATTATTGTTTTATGCATATATAAATGTTTAGAAAAATTATATTACACTGCATAGTAAACATTTCATGTATTTTTGCGAAGTCTTAGAGTTTATTTAGTGTCAATATATGTTAATCGCGACAGATAGATAGACTATATGATAGACAGCTAATCAATATGATGTGACCTTCTTGTCGCGATTATTGGTCAATTTATTGTAACTCACACCACGTTATGTGGCCTTGAGTGTTCTTTGTTATCTGTCACTCTATTTGTGTGTACATGTAATTAATTACCTGTTCATTTTGTCCGTTCCTTCAATACTGTTCGGTACGTTTTTGTCCCTTTTTTGAATTACAGTGGATTTGTATATTTTTCTTGGTGTAATTGTATGATTTATTTTGTTTTAGAAACAGATAAAGTTTAAGTCAAGTCATTCTGTTTTAGCTATAGCTGTGTGTGTCTTCAGTATTGAGGAAGGACTAAATCTGTAGGACAAAAATAATCCTACAAAGTTTCGAACAGTATGGCAGACGAAAGTTATGAAACTATGCCGTCGTTAACTCCACAGTTAGAAAAGAGTGATGAAGCTGATTTCCCTGAAAGCAACAGGAATAAATCACACTGTATGGTAGAATTGGAGCTAGCGATATTGCGCATAGTCCAAGAAGAGAAAGAAATGGAATTAGAAAGATTACAACAAGGTAGTCGCGAATGTTCTGGTCGAAATAAATCGTCTTACAAACCTTCTACTTCTCTTAAAGTCGCTGTATCTCTTAATGATGAGTTCGCCAGAACCATGTCTAAGTTTATGGACATGCTTAAAAGATATCAATATTTTAAGAGGAATGCCGATGAACTTGAGTGTTGGATCAATGAAAAACTGCAAACCTATGCAAATGAGGATTTTAAAGAACCCAGTGATCTTCAGCTGAAAAAACAGAAACATCAAGAGTTTGAGTTCGAAGTAACAGTTCATGCTGAAACACTCTCAGCTGTAGATTCTACGGGAGAAGAAATGATTGGTCAGGGGTACTACGCAACAGATATTATCAAAAACCGTCTTGATGAATGGCATGCCTTGTGGGAAAGGCTTATGGCTATTTTCAGGGAAAAATCACGTCTTATTAACCTAACGCTTAAATTTGTCCAGTTTTTACGCCAAGTCGACGATATACTTTTCTGGATACGTGAAAAAGAAACTTACGTAACATCAGAGGATTTAGGTCAAGACTTGAAACATGTTGAGACACTTCAAAAAAAGTTTGATGAGTTTATAAAGGATCTCGAGTATCAAGAAAGTCGTGCCGAAGGCATCTATCCGAAGGCAGATGAACTCCTAAAAGACGAATTTCCTGAGGATGCCCTAGTCATAGAAAAGTCCAGAGAGGTCCGCGAAGCTCTAGAACATCTGAAGGATCTGGTTAGATAACGACAAGGAAAGCGCCTGGAAGCCTATGAGATACAGCGCTTCTTTAGGGACATAGATAGAGCTATATCGTGGGTGAATGAAAAGTCCATTCCTTTATCCATTGAGGACTGTGGTCGTGATCTTGCCTCAGTCCAAGCCTTACAAAGGAAGCACGAAGCATTAGAAAGGGATTTGACTGCCGCAGATAAAAAGATTGTTCAACTTGGAGATGATGCTAAGGCGCTTGCACAGAAGCATCCTGATTCGCAAAACACTATACAAGGCAAGTATGACGCCTTAATCGCTGCATGGGATAAGCTGAAAAGTCAGGCTGTAGATAGGAGAGGTAAACTGGAAGAGCCATTCAAGATGCATCGCTTTTTGGCTAACTGGAGAGACTTGAGTATGTGGATGAATGACATGAAGACGTTAATATCGGCGGATGATTTGGCAAAGGATGTAGCTGGTGCTGAAGCCCAAGTAGGGCGACATGAGGAATACACCGCTGAGATAAATTCTCGAGCTGACAGTTTCGATACATGCATGCAAGAATGTCAGGCATTACAAAGAGTTGGCCATCCCTGTAGTGGAGACATAGCTGCTAAACTTTCCACCCTTGAAAGAGGGAGAGCCTCCCTGATGCAGTTGTGTGAGGAAAGACATGAACAGCTAGAACAGTGTATGGGCCTTCAGTATTTTTACCGCGACGCTGAACAGTCGGAATCTTGGATTGGTAAGCAAGAGGCTCTCTTAGAAATACAATATGTGGGGGACTCACTCGATTCTGTGGAAGCACTCATAAGGAAACATGAAGACTTCGAAAAGTCGCTTCTAGCGCAAGAAGAAAAGATGCGACAGCTTGATGAATTCGCCAGTACCTGAGCCATCAATAGTACCTTTTCGGCCTCTTCGGCAGAATCCAGTGTAACCCTTAATGGGGATGGCTTACCCTGAGACGTGTGGATACCCCTGTACAGCCTGCACAATTTCACTGAACTAGTGTTCAGACCTAATTTATTGCACAGGTTGGACCACTGTTCCTGATCAGACATAGCCAGCTGTTCAAGCAAGCTATTCTTGCTCACAGGTACGTTAAAGAATATAAGAGAATTAGACCGATTAACCTCAGACTTAGGTTTGGCCTTTGGCTTCTTGTATTCCTTTGCTGCATCAGCAACTTTAGGCTTCATCAGGTTCTGGCCAGCCTATGTTGTTTTGCCGAGCTTGCTTGTGGATGCGAGTGGTACTTTCTTAATTCTCTCTTCCCTTGATTTTGTGGATCCAACGTTATGAATCTTCACCTTATGAAAATTGGCATTTTCAGTCAGTAGGACTGGAGTGTCCTTCTTACTGTCTGTGCCAAGTTTTGGCAGTGTGATGTTAGCAGGTGAGGAGCGGCATAAGACTTTGCTGGGACACAAGAGCGACTTGTTGTTTCTGCTCTCCGCAGGCACGCTCTGTGGAACTTTGCTGTGTTTCGCACACTGGCTTTCAGTTGATGCAGGGGTAATATCCTGTCCCCCTGGTATTGCCTGCACCGTTTCAGTACTAGACTGTGGCAAAGCACGCGTAGTATCAGGACACACGAAACCTACCCGAGTCTTTAGGATTGGTATGCGGGAAGGGGTTGATGTCCCTGGGTTTTTGCCTTCTCTGGCTGAAGCCCTTGTGACTGCAGAGTAAGGTGTTTTAGTGCCTTTTCTAAGGCTTTTTTCGACAGCCATATTAACAATCACTAAATTTATGCTATATAAGAATAAGAGTGCAACAGCAGCTACCCGCAAGAACAAGAATAAGACTGAAAAAGTACAAGACAAGGAAAAGAAAAGGCTTTCGACTTTACCTAGTACTTTCTGGATGATCGGCTTCACAGCAATCATGTGGTAGACCACCGAGTCTTGTTTATCTGAACGAGTGAGGAAGATGCTGCTACAAAAGCAGCACCTAAAGCTTTGGCAGTAGTTCGAGACAGCTGGACTTACCACGCAGAGATTCAGTATGTAAGTAATGGTTGAATTTCATTCACCGGCTAGGAAGATCAGGTTTCCAAAGCGGATAATTCACAAAAAGTACGTCGTATTCAAGGAGCCCGCTTAAGTCTGAGAATGATATTTTATGCAAGACTTTAAAGAAGAATGTTAGGTTAATGCTGAGTCATCTCATCCAGAGTGGGTCGATACCTAGAGTTATACACCTTGATGTGTAGTCCTTTTTCGCAGTAAAATCCTACTAGTTTAGACGTGAGATATCTTTGGACACTTTCTATTTAAAGCCTGTCACTTACGCGAGTACTGCTGAGAATAAATGAACAATATTCTGGTAGTGGTCTGACACAAGTTTAATATAAGATAAGTCTCGCTTCGTAGTTGTGGAAATTCCTGAATATGCATCCTTAAAGCATCCTCGATTTACGGGTCTGCGTTGTCACTTGCTCAGAAAATGTCAGGTCACTAGAGTACCTGAGTCCTAGGTCAACAACACTTTGGAGTTTGGGCAAGTCAATAGATTCAAGTACCAGTTTGATATTTATTGAAGGTGCACCGAAACAGATCCAACCACATCTGTTAAGGTTGAATTTTAGGTTCCTTGTGGAGGACCATGCAGTTACTTTATCAAGTTCTTTCTGAGCAGCTTTCTGGAAGTATCCTAAGTCATCACAGTGGAATGTGTAAGCTACTTTAAGATCATCTGCAAAGATGAATGGTTTATCAGGTGAGAAACAGCTGCATATGTCGTTGACATATAGAGTGAATAGGAGGGGGCCTAAGACGCTACCTTGAACTACTCCAGAAGTGACTGGACTAGGCTTAGAATTTATAGACCCCAGTCTAACTACTTGGGACCTATTGTTAAGGAATGATTCAAGCCATCCTAGTAATGGTTTACGTATTCCTAAGGAGTTCAGCTTATTCATTAGAAGCAAATGGTCAACGCGGCCAAAGCCTTTGGAGATGTCGAAGTAGATGACTAGTACTAGTTGTTGTTTGTCTCGACCACTGGTTATATAGTTAAAGAAATCAAGGTGACATGTCATGCATGATTTGGATTTTAGGAATCCATGTTGGTTGGGACTTTGAATATTACAGCTGAGCATATGTTTGAGAATATCATCTTTAACTATTCTTTCAATGATTCTAGATACTATAGGTGTAATACTGATTGACCTATAGTTGTTGACTTCAGTTTTCGATCCGCATTTGTGTTTGGGTATTATAAATGTGGTTTTCCATTTATCTGGATAGGTTTGGCTTTCTAGGGACATTGTAAAGATCTTAAGTAATAAACAAGAAATGGCTTTGGCGATTTCTGTGAGAGCACTTACTCTGGTGGTGCTGGCTAGTGCGGTGCATTCTTCATTTCTCATACGCAAGTTATGAGCCTGTGAGATGGAGCTAAGAGTACTAAGTATTGACCCTAGTGTACTAAAGTCGTGTCGTCTGAAGTAACTTGTTGACAGTCTTTTCAGTTTTGAGCGATCTTTTGGTTGAATAAATTGCTTCTTGAATTCTGAGCCTTTTACTGTTTGCAATGGGATCACAGCGCCTAAGCATGTGTTTGAGTTATAGTAAAAGATGTCTAGAGCTTTCGAGAGGTTATCAGTATAGAAGTACTCTCTCCATTCTGAGGACCTTAACATTGATTTCACTAGAGTCCAGTCTGCCTTACTGTATGTTATTTGTTGTGAAGTAGGGGTATGGGCTGCATTGCTACTTGACGGAAGTGGCAGTGCACACAGCACTGTTTTGTGGTCACTCCCTGAAAACTCGGAACCTACTAGGGTAGAAAGGGGACTTAAATTGTGGCAGAAGATTAAGTCTAGTACGTTATTACCTCTTGTAGGGGTAGTGACAGTTTGTTTCCAGCCAAGTATATCCAGTGTGCCTAAGAACTTATCAAATTTAGTTGGGCCTGTGGGTATATCCCAGTTGATTTCTGGTAAGTTAAAGTCTCCACATAGGATCTTATGATCGTAGGGTAAGGTGGATAATTGTTCCAGAGTATTAATAAGTTGGGTCTCGTAATTACTAAAGGTGCCAGGTGCTCTGTAGGTAGGTGCATCTAATTAATACTGTTTCGTTATTTAAGTGTAAGTTAACCCATAGAGTCTCAGGCATGTCAAGTGTACTACTTTCTAGCTGTGATACAGTAAGTGCATTCAGAAAGTACATGAGGCAACCCCCATCCTTACCACCTTCCCTGTCACACCGAAAGTGTGTGTAGTTATCTAAGCTTATCTCTTCATCCAGTATGTTCAAATTACACCAGGATTCAGTGATGACAATTATGGGGGGTTTGTATATCACTGTGAGTGCTCTTAGAATCGGTAGTTTATTTAGAACAGATCCAGCATTTATGAGGATTAAGTAAAGATGAGATTTGAAGTATTTAAGTTTGTTAATCAGCCCCGAATGTGGTTCAGCACCCAGTAGTACTGTTTGACATGACGACCCTATGTTAAGAGGAGTTTCAAAATCATGCTCACCTATGTCTATCGAGTTGGTGTGTGCTGTTTTCGGTGAAGAATTAAGCGTTGGAGTACTGGATTTGCTATAGGCTAAGGCATTCTTATTTTTAATTAAGCTAGAAACGTGAGTAGGGTTCTTTGATTGTCCTAAACTTGTGCATGTATCAAGTGTGCTTAATGGATGCAGGTACACTACACTGTTCCTGTAATCATGCAAGGGGAGAGCCAGTACTAGTGTTTTAGTGGAGTTAACATCCCTACCAGCTGCCTTTTCAATGCTGACAGGGACGCAGGGGATAAAAAAATGATTGGATGCTTGTGATGACCATGGTACAATATTCCACCTATTATTTGATGCTAGTTGTGTCCTTGTATGGGTTTCGTGTGTACTGCTTTGTGGGTTAGTTCCCAGCAGGCTTGTACCATATATCCGATCAAAATTTATTTGTGTGCCATACTGTGAATACCCTGAGTTGTTGGTGGTCGAGTTCTGACTATTGCCACTTGTACTATTGAGGGTGGCATTGTTGTGGCGTAGGTTATCAGTGTGTGCCATGGTGCTGTTTCGCACGTTGTGTGCTAATACTATTGACCGTGGGAAGTGTGGGCTTATTTATGCTGCCATTGTTGTTACTGGCATGATTTGGGGTCATATTTTCTTTTTATCTACCAATGGACTTATGGCAAAGAGAGGACAGGGTCGACATTCGGGGGGCTTTGACTTTTTTCTGGGATTATTTAGCGACATCTCTAAATCTACGGTAATAGGTGGTATGGTTTTATTAGCTATTTGATTACAATTTAGTGGCCTTTCGGTTGGTGTCGCTCTCTGAGGGGATAATTCTGTGTGGTTTGAGAGGGGTATTGCGGTGGGTTCTACGGTGTCTCTTAAAGGGTTGGGTATAATGGCTGCTTGCAATGTCCTATTATTTATTCCACAATTAGGCGCAGTGAGATAATTGTATGCGCGCCTTTCTATGACTGTCTTGTCCACCGCAACCTTTATTAGTTTGTTGTTTCTGGCTTGCGATAGGGTGTGTTGGGAGTGGATGAATTTTCTGGTCTCTGCCGGTGTTTCGAACTGAAAACGAATAGGACCACACTTTTCATGTTGACTCTCCTTCAGCCTATAGCACTTAGTCTTGAAGTTGGGCATTTGCGCCTCACTAAGTAAGATGCGCTGTACCTTTTTTTAGTGCCTCATTGTCCGGAACGTTGTAGACAATTATTATTATTATTGTAACCTTTAATTCCTACAGGAACATAGGGCTTCAGCCGTGCGTCTCCATTGCGTTCTGTTCTCTGCTAGAGTCTTCACCTGGCTCCAAGTCTGCCCACACGTTTTCATCTCCTCTTCACATGACCTCCTCCAAGTCACCTTTGGACGACCAACTCGCCGCTTCCCTTTCGGGTTCCACTCAAGGGCTTGTCTAGTGATGTCACTTGATGGTTTCCTAAGAGTATGGCCAATCCATCTCCATTTCTTCCTGCCTATTTGTTTCACAATGAGTTCCTGGTTGTTTCGCTCCCAGAGACCTCTGTTGCTGATCTTTTCTGGCCATCTAATCTTGAGTATTGAGCGAAAAGAACTGTTAATGAAGGTCCGTAGTTTGTTTGTGGTGCTCCTCTTGACGTGCCAAGTCTCCGATCCGTATAGTATCACTGAATGACTTCACATTGGAGTTGAAAATCCGGATCTTATTTTTGATGCTGAGTGCTGTTGACCTGCACACAGACTTGAGAGTAGTGAAAGCTTGTCTTGCTTTTCCGATTCTTGCTTTGATATCCTCGTCAGTTCCGTCCGCCTGTAGTTGAAACGATGCTTCCCAGGTAGGTAAAAGAGGTTGTTTCTTTCAGGTTCCTCCCATTTATGCTGATCGTTGTCAGTTGTTGTTGTTGCTGTTGGTGGTGTTGCCCAGGAATTTTCATCACCTCTGTTTTATCTATGTTCACCTGAAGTGCTATCTTTGATGCTTCTTCTGCTAACTTGTAGCTTTTCGCTTGCATATCTTCCAGTTTGTGGGAAATCAGACATATATCATCGGCGAAGTCCAGATCCTCCAAGTTTTTTGTGTGTGTCCATTTTATTCCTCATTGCCCACTGTTTGTCGCATTATCCAGTCTACTGCAATCAAGAAAATCATTGGTGATAGTAGGCAGCCTTGTCTTACTCCTGTCCTCACTTCGAAGGGTTCCGTAAGTTTCCCATTGTGGATTACTTGGCATGCAGCATTGTCGTATAGCTGTTGGATGAGATGTATTATTGTCGGTGGCACCCCGTAGTAGCGAAGTAGTTTCCAAATCACCTCTCGATCGACGCTGTCAAAGGCCTTTTCAAAATCGATGAAGTTGAGATAGAGAGGTGACTGCCACTCCAAGCTTTGTTCAATGATGATCCGTAATGTGGCGATCTGATCAATGCATGACTTGTTTCTCCTGAATCCAGCCTGTTCCGGTCGAAGTTTTTCATCCAGAGAATGTTTGATTCTCTCCAGGATGATGCGGCTTAGTATTTTGCTTGGGATGGACAGGAGCATAATTCCGCGCCAGTTCTTGCATTGACTTAGGTCTCCTTTCTTTGGTAGATTGATTAAGTATCCTTTCTTCCAATAGCACTCAGTTTTGCGTCGAGTCGTTTTGTTACTTCTGTAGTAACATAGTTAATGAAGTTATCTACCTTAGATACCGATTCTGTGTCAAGTTTGTTAAGGTCTACAGTTTTCATGAGGATAGTAAGAGGTGCCAGTTCACAGACCTGCGATCTGATATCATTGATCTGATCTGATAATTTGGATATTTTGGTATTGGTTTCAGAAATCCCAGGATCTACTGATTTATTGTTTTTTATTTCCCTTAACTCGGCCTTAAGTTCTCCTATAGACAACTTTAGAAGTTCTATTTCTGAAGATAGTACTGAAACAGAGCTTGGTGGCTGGAGTTTTTTGATAAGCACATAAGGTGTAGGGAGGGGTTTGTATGAGCAGAAGGTACTGAATTTTTAGGAGTAGTGCTAATACTAGCTGTCAATACAGTTTTATTCTCAATTCCAGCTCGACGCTTACGGCATATAAGTGAGTTGCTTGATGTAGTAATCAAAGACGTTTCAAGCACAATTTATTGCTCATAATCACCTTGATATGTGAAACTTTATCAAAATAAATTTTACCCATAACAGATTTGCGCAAGTGTCTAGTCTCAAAAGGACCTGATTACTAACGAACATAGCAACCTCAACTCCGTCCTTCCCTGCGTTATTTACAAAATGTCATTTAGTCTGTGCCTATTTTGTTGTCTCAAACTCTATTTGATAGACAACTTCCAGTTAGAATGACAACTGTCTGTGCAAGTTTACGGATAGCAGAACGGCCATACTATTCCCAAAATCGCAGATGTGACTTTAAAAAGATTTGAAGGTTTCTACAGACCTATGGGTACCTTATATGTTATTTAGTGGCAGAATTCCCGAATCGGAGCAACTCTCTAATACCTCAGTCCATTTCATGGGAGTTGGACCGGCGCCGTCTTCCTACGAGGTCTTGGACATAGTTAATCACAAGGTCTGAATCAAGTCGCTCGATGACAAAACTAGATTAGGTTTATAACGTCACACTTGTGAGATGTATGAAAATTGAGCACGACCACCTGTTTCTTCAAATCAACAACAAAGACGTTCTAATTAACATTAACTGTTCCTAATGTTGCGTCTACTTCTGCTATGAGTGGTAGAGTTAGTACTTTAAGCACGATGCAAACAAGCTTAGAGGATAGAAAAATGGGAAGTTCAAAATCTCTGATGTATTTCTTACAAAGCCTTACTAACACATGGTCATATACATGTATAAGTTACTGAAAATGTTCTCCAATAGGGACCTTTTTGATCTCAGACAGACCTCTAAAATGAAGTATTATTAGTAAGGGTTTATTGGACTCAACTTACTGTGCGTCACGAGACAACAGGAAAAAGTTTTCCACATAATCTGATCTACCCAGTAACTCAACGAAATCAGCATCATGTGTGATAACAATTAGTTGAAAGTTCTTTTGACGTCTTCTATTTTTTATGATTCTAAATGTACAAGAATTAATGCAAATATTTAGCTATGAATATTTTCAAAGCCAATGGAAAGCACGTAGCTGATAAAATGGAAATTTAAGGGGATTATTATCCATTATTCTCTTTTTAACATATTAAGACTGCATATATAACATATTTGTTAGCCACAATCAATGGTTGTTTCTAGCAAGAAGCGAAAACTAGCTATATTCACAAGATTCCTTCACTTTAATTTACTCTCTGCTTCCAACCTTCCCATTTTACGGGGTTTACTACCGACTGAGAGAGGTTTAGGAGTACGTCAGTGAAGGGCCGAACCCCATACCACGTGCGTGGCTGGAAGTGCAGTTTAATCCTTTCTTTAAGCGGTAAATACAAGAAAACTACTCCTGTTTTAGGATGCGATATGGTAGTAGTCCACCCTATACCGGACTTGGAGTTCTTTTGGCTTTCGCAGTTTAGCATTTCAGATACCATTTAAGTACTGAACAAAATTTCAGATATTAATTACATAACAGTAACTTTTTAACTGGCTTTTTATCAACTCTAAAATTTAATTCAAAGGAAAGCAGTCATGGATTCTCACTCGTAAACTGCCCTAAAGTGACAAAGCTTGACCTTATATACTATAATGTTCTAATTTTTGTTTTATTCCTTCACGTTCCCAATGGAACATAGGGCTTCAAGCTAGAGGCTTGAAGTTTCTGTAGCAGTGCTTATTTTACAGGATGTGGTTGCTAGCCTCATGCTCAACCTTTCCTCTTCACCAGCATTATTTCCGGCTTAGCGAGGTAAAGGAGTGCGTCGGCCAGGGATCGAACCCCGGACCATGTGCATGGTCGGCAAGCGTCCTAACCGCTATGCCACCGACGCACATAATGTTCTAATGCGAAGGTTCGAAATAAATCTCTAAGTTACCTGGTCATCACATTGGTTAGGTGATAACCATTAAACAAAAAGACTTTAGGTCCTTTATTTATCGGAAACAATAATTATCTATGACTAAGAATGTGTGATTTGGAACACCTCAGGTTTATTGTTTAGGTCAACACAAAAGTGAAAGTTAGAAGCACCCACATACTTAAAAATGGAAGTTTTATGCATGATTCAAACTGTTTCCGGGTGTTATTGATACCGACTGTATATATAACAGTGTAAATCGTAATGCTAATAAAAATTGGATAGACAATAAGAAAGATGACAGTTATCTCAACTGTGTATTGAACATTCTGCGTATTATTTCTGCTTACTCTGATTTGTTATTGAAGTAGGTGAAATAGTTGTGTTCACTCATGTGACATCCACTAATTCCTTATTAACCACCAGAAATAGACTGAAGTGTAATGGGAAGATGCATCACAACAGTACACTAAAAAATTAAGTGAGTTCACTATCATAATTAAGATTATGTTGAGGGGTAGTGGAAGAGCAACTTTATGTCAGAAAAATAAATATATAAATGGGTTATAGGTACTTACTCTACTAAAGCGTAGGCTAGACTTTCGATATTTTCTCTGTCCAGGTTTGTAGTTGGTTCGTCAAGTGCAAGCACTCCACAGTGTAGACAAAAGACCTCAGCCAAAGCTAGACGGATAATTAGACTAGCAAGTACTTTCTGCCCAGCTGAACACCGACCACGCATATCTAAACGAGCTTCACCGTGGTATGCACTAGTGTCTTTTGACTTCGGTCGGCAAGCTGAAGCACTTGTCTTTACCATTACAACACGGTAATTGTAAGTTCTCCGTGTTCTGCTAACATTGGAAGCTGCACTGGTATCTTCCTCGCTACATATCTCGATATAATCTATATCTAAAAGGCAAAGTAAAATTACAGGATACATTATTCAAACTACCATATATTTTTTACTGGCCAGTCAATGAATTTTAAAGCAGTTATTTCTCTTCATGAATTTCGGAAAACAAAACAATAAGACGTATCTATAATTTTCGAACAAATTACTTCTCTTAGTGTTTTTTCTAAAGTCCTTGAATGACGTTACAAATGATAAGTGAAGAGACTTATGGTTTGTGATGCTTTCTCCGTTTCGGTAAATTGATTTAATGTTTCATACATAAATCTTCTGTTCAGCATTGACTATGAGAATAGTTTTTTCTGATACAGCCGGCAATTAATAGAATAAAATACTATAATTATTAAAATTAAAGAATAATGAGTATGTTTTATGCTTACTGAAGTGAAAGTGAAGATGCACGTTTAATCATAATGGTTAAAGTGAATGCTACAAACACTCAGTTTCCTAGTCCCACTATTGAGTTTTTGCTTGATGAGAAGTTATTGGTGATGATGAATACGAATATTAATATCACCAAAACTAACACCGGAAGAAACATAAGTGCAGAAACACAGACATTTAAGCTATCAATGTAAGAAACGTAATATTTAGAATAGCAGCGAGTTTAAAGCGAAAATTAATGTCCACACGAAATGAAGCCAAATACATGAGTATTTGTTAGCGAAGTAGTTTCCCAAGGTAATGTACTCACAAGTTTCAGTGATTATCACAAAGTGTTAAAACGTATTTTATAGTTAAAAATAATTAAAACCTCAGAATTTAAGAAATTTTTTTCTTTCGATAAACTACTTTGAGAAGCTGTATAATTGTATCCAATATTGAATAAGATATTAATGAAAATCTTTAGGATAATAGTAGTATGCTTAGAAATTCATTATCCTATAAGAAATGTTAAGTGAAAGAGAGAGGAAAAATATCACTTATTTCAGAGTAGAAACAAACATTTGAACCCATTAGTTCATTCCCTTTTTACATTTACTGTGAAATGATACTTTCCTTAAGCCCTAATTTTATACTTCCTTACTCTTTTTACTTATTCTTACTATAATGTGATGTTTTGGAATTCACTAATAGTATTTTAATTAATTAGTTCTCATTTTATTCAGATTAAGTGGAGATTATATATTGCAAAAGAACTAACCATTGCCGCGATATGTGCTCCTCCATAATTCGCGGATAATTTTATTCAAATCAGCCATTTTAACAGCATGATACGACATTATAGCTCTAGAGAGAGAATTAAGAATTATGATTAAAAAGACTGACATTTATAGAAAAAGAAATTGCGTTTATCTAATAAAAGATAAAACAAAGTAATATTGCAGAAATTTAAACGACAATTTGTGATATTCCCAAGAGCTAGTTTGATCACGGATTGCGATTGAAAACCAGGTGGGAGTTAGAATTTATAGACCACTGAATCGGGTTCCGGTGGATGATTGGTATAGTAGCTCACCTTTTAACTGGAACGTCCTAGGGCTTGAAACCCAGTGGGTGGGTAGTGCTGAAGAGCCCCAACCTAGGAGGAGACGGCTGTCCAATTACCCCTGGTTTTCAATGGTTCTCTAACTGATGTCAACCCATGATCAAACTTGAAGCATCTGTGATGTCAGACGTCAGTATTTCATAATCTGAAAACTTTCAATTTAAGGATGATTCGACTTAATATTTTGGTTTGGTGGATAGGGGCATGTTTCTGCGCTGGTTCTTGCATATGCTTAAGTTACCTTTCTTTGGCAATTTGATGAGGTAGCCTTTCTTCCAATCGACAGATACCTTTCCATCCTTCTTCACATTCTCACTCCTCACGGTTTGCTCTACGGCCCAGTCCACCACAAGCAGCGAATATGTTCAGTGGTAATAGGTAGACCTGTCTTCACTGAGTTTTTCGTTGTTAATCACGTGGCATTATCATTTAGTTATTTAACGAGGTTTACAAAGGTTTGGGGCACTCCCTGGTGTTAAAGTAGTTTCCGAATCACTTCTCGGTCGGTAATCATTAACTAGCTTCATCTGCGCTGACCTCTTATTGGATAGTGGCCTCGTTAATTTATATATTGTTGCGAGGTATTTCATACCCAGTCTCTCCTGCTTTAGTTGTCGGTGCATTATAAATCACCATTTGTTTTAGCATTATTCTTCAATATTTTGTTCAGTGCACCGTAGGTGATACTCAACCTTTGCTTTCCGTATTGATCTCAATAACCAGTTGATCTTCTGCTTCAGCATCCTTCTCTACTCTATTAGCCTCCACACGTCCGTGTTTTCTTTCATACCTCTTTCAAAGAGTTCCAGTATTCCTCTACTCAGGTTTCCTCGATGTTGTTGCTGGATACCTCTTGACATTTTTCTGTTGTCTCTCTCGTAGATTCGTCCTTAAATTTTTGAGTGTTGAACTTGAATTGTGGTCTAATCTCAACTTTCTTTGGAGGCCTTCAACTGCATTTTGAAAGTTGCTTGCACTAGGTAGTGGTCTGAACCTAACTGTGTCTCTACTTTCTTGAGAATGAGATGAAGTCTGTCCGATATTTCCTGTGTCCAAATGGTGAAAACCACGTCGTATTGTGGATATCATTGTACATGTATACTCTGCCTTCAATCACCATATAGAAGGAGCAGAAATCTCCAAATAGGTTACCCTTCCTATTCATTTAACCAACCGCTTCTCGACCGGTGGTGAGTTGTCATTACAGTGTTGTCTGCTTTCAGTTTGGCTTGCATTCATATCAGGGGTTCACCATCTGGCTTTGGTCTTGTTCAATATTGTTTGCAGCTGTCTACAAAATTGTATAGTTATAGTTTTCCTACCTTTCTAGTTGAATCTTGAAGTGGAAACTGGTTTGTAACGACAGAAGGCAAGAGTCAGGCAACAGATCATTTATTAAGGAAATCAACGCATATTTATATATGTTTTCATGTACATTACTATGGATATGTAAACAAACAAACACAGTCTTCCGATTGGTTGTTTCTCACGACAAATCTTGGGAACGTAAATATTGACGTAAATTACTGTCTACCAATTTGGCTAGTAGACAGCTCTCACCACAGTTGCCACTACATGAGTCTTCTGTGCTGTTAGTGATTCCACGACGACTACAAACCCAATATGCTTGTTGTTGTCGTATTTTTGCCTAAATTAACACATTGACTCTCCATTTAGCACTTTTGGAGAATCCACTTCTATTTCACCTGAGCTCACCGATTCCCAGTACTTTTATACTATATCTCCTCATTTCTTCTGCATTCTGGACAGCTTTGTCAATTTTGAAAATGGCCATGGCATTTCATATCACAATGGTTACTCTCTCTATAATCAACAAAAGACATATCGTCTTTCAACAATTGGCGTCATACATTCTCAAATTCAAGAGCCTACCTGATTACAGTGGAGAATAAGTTTATTTTCCTGTGCTTTGAAGTTTTCATAGTGATATGATGGTCCGGGGTGTAAGGTTGTTACCACAACATACAACCTTTCCCACTTACTAGGATAGGATCGGTTTGCAAACAATGACCCTAGGTGCCACGAAGACAATGCGTTATCACATCTGCACTACTAAAATTGGTTAGAATACTTCAAATAATAATCTGTGACTGGAGACTTGGTAATTAACCCAAAAACTGTTCACTATTTTACAGATACATTTACCAATCTTTATTTAATTATTTCTCCTTCCACACACTTTTTGTCCAATGCACATTTCTCTCCTCTTTCTTATATTCTTGCTTTAAGTATAACAGTATAAAATGATGCATTTCTGTGCAGTGTTACATTGATTTCTCCGTCAGTCCCTACTTCAAGGTAACATCATATCATTATGGTATAGCAATTGTTGGTAGGTGAAATTACGAGGCAGTAGAAACCATTGATAATAACTGAATGATATTGTCATTTATTCTGCAACTGAAATACATACCTGTCAAGAGCTTTATAATAGCGTTCCAAATCTGTACACGCCAATTCTGAAGTCTACATACAAGAAAATATTTTTTATACAATTAACAAGTAAAGAACAATATTTCAATTATCTTTACATACATAAATTCATTCTAAAGTCCACATAGAAAGTGATTCGATACAATAAATAGAGGAAATCAGAATTCGTATGAATGTGAACAAATTCAGTTGCATCATTGCTTTTACTTTTAGTGGAACATATTTGAAAGATTACTATGCATCAGTGGAAGGTGTCAAAGAGGCCTTCCACAATAAGTGAAAGTTTACCCAAGAATATATTAAAGTTGTAGCTGATATCCAAGTTAAACGGTAGTAATAATTTAGTGCCTACGAGTAATCTAACCACTGGCGTATGGTTTCAGAGTTAATATAAGTTTGCAGACTGACATGTCTCAATTCAGAAAAACAGGCCAATATCAACAAACAGTAAAATATGCGGGAATGCAGTTAAACTGATTAAGAAAAAAGCGGTCACACAAATTCATAATCTTCTTCATCACAAAGTACAACAAGCTTTACAACTATGAAGTCGTTCTATTTTATGAAACTTATTTTGCGATGCTCACATACTTAATTTCAGCACTTCTTAATTGTAATGCCTGTTTTATCACACCAACTCAAGTATTCGCAACGTACTGACTAACTCCCAAAGTATCTCTATGTATTTCAGGAAAGTGGTCACAGTACTACAAGTACATAATTTCCTGTTACGATGTTTATTAAAAGTTCATGTGATGAAATTCATTCAGTACAAGGAATAAACAAAACAAACATTGTTTGCTCTACAATAACCAACAGATAAAATAATAAGAACACACCTTAAGCATGTACATCATATCGCGGTATTCACTGTCAGCACTGGCGTATTTTTCATTTAAATCACGATTGAGGTAATGCAGTTTTGCTTTCAATTCACTCAACTGGTTAGATACATCCTGTTTCTAGGCATAGAGTAGACAGAGAAGAAAAGAAGGTTTATTAAAGAGATCTTAATACTATTTAACTACTTTAAATCATTTGAAAAGATCATAACGTTCGTATTAAGTGTGTAATAAACTGTTTGAAGGAGTTGTTCCATGAAATACCTGCAAATGTGAAGTAATTCAATATATCAGTATATGGACAAGAAAATGAATAACACTTGTAGTTGTTTTTAGGCGATTATGACTGTTAAATAAAGGGTTTAGTTTCAAAGTAAATTGATATAAAGTGGACTAAGGGATAAAGATCATCTGTTTAAACATATTCTCGAAAGTCAGTACTGATCATTCATATCAAAACTAACAGCAACACATTCAGTTTCTACTGGAGGATATTATTCTTCGAACCGACTGACAATCTCTGAATGGGACCTCAGCATTAGACTATCAAAGAAAGACAACATAATTGTAAAACCAATTCGTTGATTTCTCAAGACTTTAGTGTACATCGAATATACATTAAAACAGCGTTCAAATGGATCAATCTGAATAAATTTTATAGACACTGATGAAATGAAAATACAATCCTAATGAGAATGGCTAACAAGACCATATGAATGATTACTCATCAGTCAGATTCCAAAATCAATTTACCCAGCAGAGTAAGGATGTTTTGATGGTACTTGTCCTTTCAAATGTCGGGTTAAAATCTTTAATTAGTAGAATAGTACAAGCATTCTTCAGTACTTGTTAACATAACCATTCAAACTGATAAAAAAGCCTTCAGGACGAAAGAGGTAAATACAATTGCCATAGTAACCCGCATGTAGCAGAAATGAAGGAGAGAACCAGACAATTTTTTTTACTGATTAGTTCGCGACTAATCATAAGCATGTTACATCTAAAAGCGAACTGATTTCCGTTTACATTCTTACGAATATTTCTCCGTTGCTTCTTGTCATTTGCATTTCTTTAAATAAACACTTCACATGCATGAAAACGTCAGTCGACTTATTAATACAACAGGGTTTGAGTTTGTCAGCTTGCTGGTCAATCATTCAGGGTTAAAGGTGACATGACTTACAAGTGAATGCAGTTTTTCTTCCTCTAGTGATAAACGTTTTGTTTCTTTGATCAAATCTTGATCAGATCCAGGGAAATTATTGCAGTCCTTCTGATTTTGTATAAGAGATTCTGTGCGTTGTGTTAGTGAGGTAAGCTGACAACGGAGGTGACGAAGCTGAATACAATCAGCCAATTCTCGTTGACGCACCTGTAAAAAAGTAAAGCATTTTTCAATTGCAGAAAAGCAGGAACTACTTTGTAAGTTATAAACTAAGATAAATATTTTGTTGTTCAGTTCCATAAATATTGGACACCGAGTGAACAGCAGATATTTTTATATAGCCTATTTCCTTTCAAATCTACATTCAGTGAACATGTCTGCAAAGAGTAAAGTATGCTTACTCTATCCGATGATATTATAAGCCATCATGCATTAAACAAAGATTAGGATTTAGCTCATTAATTAGTATCCAGTTATTTAGTTGCACTAATATTAAATCTTGAAGAAGACATTATCACTAGAGAAGATTGTTTAACAATGTTTTTTTTTATTTTGTTATAAGATTGTCCGTCAACTAAAGCTAAAAGTAAGATATGAATTTGAATTGAAAATCAAAATACCTAACCACTTTTAAGTATATATTATCTTGAAAACAAATTTTAAAACATCTATTAGACCAACTTTGTGCTCATTGATTTGTTTCTTTAGAAATTCTATATTTTCACTGCAGGTATCCACTTCAGATCTGACACAGCATAACTTGGTTTCGAGTTTTCCTACACTTTCTTCAATATCCTTTAATCTGTTTGTGGGTTGAGAAATGGATGCGTTTCTGACCGAATTGCACACCTCAGTTAAATTTTTCAGTCGCTCATGAATTTCATTTACCTGGAAAAAAGTTTAAAAAAAACTTTAACACCTTACAAAAAAGTATAAAAATTATGCTCAAATTTGAAATTATTGAAGAACTTACTTTTGCAGTGGCTTGTTCTATAGTCTGTTCATGTTTCTTGATAAGGCGATTACGTTCAGTGCATGCTTCAGTCCAATGACGATGAACATTCGGGAGTTGGTTAGCTTCTAATTCATGTAGTTCAGTTTTAAGAGTTTCACAGTCACTGGTTAAACGCGATAGTTCATCTCTCAGTCGAATATTATCCAAATTTTCTTGCTCTAACTAGACAAAAATAACCACAGGAAGTAAGGAATTCATATTATGTTTTCTCAATTCTTTTTAACTGCATTTAATAACATTAAAAAGCAGAACAATTATCACATACCTTATGCATTTCATCTTTCAGTCTGTGCATTTCACTAACAGCTTGATGCTTAGCTTGATTCAGTTGATCAACACGTTTTTGTTTTTGATCAATTACATCAGAAGATGTACGTCTAAAACGTCAGAGTAGAAGTTACGTGAAGAAAGTATTTTAAGTGATTATTACTGAGAACAATTAAACAATCGCGGGAAATCTAGGACATGACTCTTCATAATGAAAACACTAACACAAAATTAGTAAGGGAAATGTGAATCAATATAATGATAATAGACTGACCGATGATAAATGACATACAATATATACTACTAGCTAATAAGAGCAGTTTAAAATCACATATAACAACTACTAGCCACACCAAAGTGATTTGAACACTGAAAAATCATTTTTGTCAAGTGGGTTTGAAGTAATCAAAATCAGATAAAAGGATCAGATCAAACCATCCAGGTTTTAGCCAAGTGAACCAACGTCTTGATAACAATCGTCAGCCATGACCATTTCAGATTAGTTCTTACGTGACTACAGAGATTACTGGTTTTTAAACTAATCACATTTTATCTAGTGGAGACAGATAATAGTGAGCACGTATAATACATTTCATTTTTTATAATCCCCTTAATGGTTTAAATATGTGCAAAATGTACTGTCTGATAGGACGTAACAGTCTAATCGTGGTTCTTTGGTTGATGCCTATCCAGAACACTTTTTTATTTTTTGTTGCTTACACGATATATATGCAGCACATTTTTAATTAGTAATAAAACGTGATCAAAAGATGAGTTGAAGTTGCATATTGATTTACTAAAAACCACTCCTTACAGTTTTTCACGTAAAGTTTTTCTCTCCTCTTGTAAAACTTCAATCGATTGAGAATCATCTAGAAAAAGAAGTAATACTTGTTAGATAACATATAATCTTCATCAACAAAAATTAACATATACATACATATAATTTAACGGACAAAGAGAAATGAAAGAATTAACGAAACTCACTTGTCACACAGTCTGTGAACTCAGTTCTGAAAGAATTAATTTTCAGTGTTAGTTCAAAAGATTCATTTTCTAAGCGTTCCAATATAGCCATATCACCTTGCATAGTTTTCGCTAAGAATTCATCTGCTTGACAAGTTTCAAGGAGAGCAGCTGTCTGGATATAATATACACGAAAGTATTTATTAATTTACATGACTTTAAGATTTTAAATTATTGGTTTATAGGGATTTGACTGCCTGTTTGCAGGGTATTATCATGCGCTGATATCGGTTAGAGAACCACTGGAAAACCTGGGAGTACTGGACAGCTGTTTCGTTAGCCTAGTCCGGGACTCTTCATCAGCACGCACCCATCGCCAGGGTTCGAACCCAGCACCTTCTACTTACAAGGCGAGCTCGTAGACCATTTAGCCACTAGGACCCGATCCAATGGCTCATGAATTCCAACTTCCGCCAATTCACGACATAGCGCGAACTTTAGCCAATGGTCTTTGGCAAGTATTTGTCCTCACGTCCAACCTACTGTACCCTACTGGTCACGATTTCATTGCAAACAGAAGTCGAATGAGTGAGGATGAGAATTTAGGATAGTAAACAAATATTTTAGAGAATTATTAAGCTTTTAATAATTACGTGATTAAAAGCTGCAGGCTATTTAAAAGGAGAACATGTATATCCCAGTTGATTAATATTTTGGAGCTATGAGTGTTATTAAAAACACAGAAATTAGAGAGAGTAAACCATTTTTCTTACTTATTACTTTTAGCTAATCATAAGTCGAGGAATGAACTTTAATTTCCAGTTAGCGGACTATTAATTTTCAGGTTAAATGAAGACGGTCATTATAAGAAATCAAGATTAGAGATGTGGTTCATTGGACTAAGCGTTTGATTTTCAAACACTAGGTCACTGGTTCAGCTTGTCGGAGTTTGAGCAATTAGGTAGTTCCGCTAGCGCTCACACAATAGGTGTGATACGTTGCTAACACACCATGAAATTGTAAGTACTTGTTTAGTTCGTAATATTTTTAACACGAAGTAAGACAAGCCACTGAATAATTTTTTTTAGCGGACATCAGTGATATTGGCAGCTTTCATGATGCGATTGACTCTCTTATCCAAATAAATAAGACAAAAATAAAATTAATATTTTCACCTCCAAATCTGTTAATGTTAATAACTTGTAGGTAGAACATTTTGATCACTTAGAGAAAGTATATGAACTACTTAGTACAATGGTAATGAAAGTGACTTATTAGAAATAATTGCAAGTCACAGAGTTTTCAACTTATCAATCATATTCATGTTAAACAGAGGAGGATCGGGGGGGGGGGTAGAGACAAGCATAACTGAAAGAAGTAATAGTTCCTCTTCTATCATCTAAAAATTTTATGTATTGAATAACTAGTGAAATTGTACTACATGGACAAGGAAAATCATTCTAATAGACCATTTTTAAAGAACTAATGCACAGTCACTAAAAAAGTGAGAAATTATCTAATTGGACTTCATTTTATTCACCTTGTCTCTTTGACTGCGTACACTGGCGAGATTATCCAATACAGATTTCATTTTCGATTCTACAGCGGGCAGTTCTTTTTGTTTCAAATTTAGAATCTATAAGGAAGTTCAAAAGAAAGTATAACGATAGGTTTAATACAAATACGCCTCAAATGTAATTTTTAAAATAAACTCGGCGATCATCAGCAGAAATTAATTGGTTTTTAATTTGAACTATTGCTGAAATGATATAGATTTATAAAATGTATCCTGATGATAGTAACAATGAGTTTTCTTCAAATCTAATAATTTAGATATCTTTGATAAAAACATTGAGCACGACTGGTTGACGTGTGTTACTTTCAAGTACTTATACCGATAAACAGCACAGCATTATGAAAAGACACAGGTCGGTAAAGAATATCCTCTTGTAACTTCACTTCTCAATGGTGAGGGTAATGCCTGTAACGGTCAGATGTTAATACCAGTCAGTAATAAAACATGAAATTATATGTCAGGAAAAATGGCATTACGCAAACTAAAACATTAAGTGATGCGTGCCTGCTCAGAGATGATAACCATGAAAACTACAAGGAATATTGTTCTTGAGAGTAACAGATTCCAAATATTTATATCATATTTTAAATTTAGGAATTTGAAACGAAGGAATGAGAGGAAAAAACAGAAATATGGATTACATACCAAATTATTGTACAAGTTATTAATAAGAAAATGTTTAAGACCACAGTAGTAACATGGCAATATCCGTGTGCATACATTAATTCACTTGCTTCTGTGTAGCTGAGTAAATAGTCCGTACCAGTAGGGTTTTGTCTATACGTGTATAAAAACATGAAAAAGAACGGTTGGAAAAATAGTCAAAGGAACAAGAAACCTAACATGAATAGATCCATGGTATATGCAGAGGTTGAAGTTATTTCTTTTGAACAAAAAACTCCACTTCCTTGAAGCATATGGAGAGGGATTTTGCAGTACAAAATAGGTCAGAGGATTTCCATTTAACTTGAAAACGACTTCAAATGACGAGTCAGTTGAGATGTCAAGATAGGTATTATTATTATTAACTTTGAATCTGGGTGAAACATAAAGCTTCAACAGAACATCTCCATATCTTCTCGTTCTCTGCAGTCCTCTTCAGCTGGTCCAGCAACTGTCCATAAGTTTTCATCGCCTCCTCCACGTCACCATCGGAACCCCAACTTTTCGTTTCCCGTTTGGGGTCCACTCGAACAATGGCAACCATAAGTCTCCTCGGTGTGTGCCCGATTCATCTCCATTTTCTTCTGCATATCCGTTGAGCAATAGGTTCCTGATTAGTTCGCTCTCATAGTTTCTTGTTGCTAACTTTTTCTAGCCACTTCACGTCGAGTCCTGTCTTTGCTGCCTCCTTCTTTCACCAGTTTCTTGGTTTGCGCCTGCAGGTCTTCAAGTTTGTGTGACATTAAACATAAATTATCTGCGAAATCCAGATCTTCTAGAGTCTTCTTATAGGTGGTCCAGCAAATTCCTGTCTTCTCGGTCCCTGTGCACAGTATAACGCATAATCCAGTCCACCACAATTAAGAATATCATCGGTGACAATAGGCAGTCAGCTTGTCTTACTCCTGTATTCACTTCGAACGCCTCGCTGAGGTTTCTGTTGTGGGTCATCTGACACGTGACATTGTCATATAGCCAGCTGTTGAATGAGGCTGATAAAGATTTGGGCACTGCACGCCATATTGTTGAAGCAGTTTCCAAATTGCTTCTCGGTCAACGCTGCACTGTTGAAGGTCTTTTCGAAGTCGATGAAGTTGAGGTAGAGGTTTGACTGCCATCCTACGCTTTTTTCGATGACTATGCGTAGAGTTACAATTTGATCAGCACACGATTCGCCTTTTCTGAATCCAGCTTGTTCCGGTTGGCGGAGTTCTGTATCCAGTGCATCCTTTATTCTCTCCAGGATGATGTGACTCAGTATTTTACTTGGCGTGGACAAGAGCATGATTCCACGCCAGTTCTTGCAGAGCCCCACGTCGCCCTTCTTTCCTAGTTCGACAAGGTTGTCTTATAGTAACCAATTAGTAGGCACCTTTCCTTCTTTCCAAACGCTTTGCAATAGCGGGATGACCATAACCGCTGCGGCGTCTGGTTTTGTTTCCAGTGCTTCATGAGGAATTCCGTCAGGTTTTGCTGCGTTCACGGACTTCAGTAGCTTGATTGCATTTAAGACTTCTGTTTTCATTGGAATATTGGTGTCCACTGTCAGTCCCGCTCTTGCTGTTGGTGGTATTTCTGGACGACTTGCAGGTGACGGTCGATTAATGAGTCCTTTGAAGTGATCAGCCCATTGTTTTATTTGTCACTGCTCTTTGGTAATTAAGTTCCTTTCATCATCTCTTATTGGTTTCATCGTGTGCGTCGATCTCTTCCCGGATAGAGACCTGGTTATCTGATATAATGTTCTGAGGTGTCTCTTATCTGTGGTCTGTCCTCTTCACTTGCAAATGTATCGGAGAATTTCTTTTGTCTTTCCCAGCACTTCTTATCGTGACAGATGTTGACGAGGAATTCAATTATAGTGCTTCTGATTGAATCAGTGCAGCCATTTTGGGGCCAATATGGATAGTGTTCCTCAACGGGATCTGTTTAAAAGTGATGAGCAATGAAGGAGCCTTGTTAGTTTCCGACCAAATATCCACTATAGTAGAATATTTTCTAGTGACATTATATGAATTCACTACTTTTATACCAAACTGCAGCATCAATATGGAATTGTAAACGGCTTCAACGAAACTGAAAGAAGTCAAAGTGTTGCAAGTTACTGGAAAACTGAAAAACAACTAAAAGCAGTGCATCACGAGCAACATATAGACATTTGGAAAAATATTTGCCAAACATAAGATGGTCGTTTACGAGTGAATGTTAGCAAGAAGAAAAAAACTTCAGAGGATACCACAAGGGATTATGATCTTTAAAGTGAATAAAATCAGATGACAAATAAGTCAGAGAAACAGCTGGTGAACAACTAAACATGTGTTAAATTAAAAAATGTATAACTTTAGTAAATTAACTTCCAAAAATTAAATTCAATGAACGTGTCAATTACAATGATTGATTCACGTAAGGATACAGTTAAACTGTTTTGCCTTTGCTGAGCATAAACACAGCTTATCGTAAGAGGAAAACTATTTTTTATGCGTAAATAATATTGAATGCACGCTTTTGCTTACCTCCGTACTGACTGGACGTAATTCAACTAGCGATTCAAGATGAGAGACTATATCTTCAAGTTCTTGTTTCTTACGCTGTGATTCAGTAGGCACCGACTGAATTCGGTTATCAATCTATACCATAAGAAAATAAAAAAGGACCAACACGTTAGCGTACAAAGATACAGAAAACTAAATATTAACTACAGATTATGTGCATAATTGTTAAAAGAAAGTTAGGAAGAAATTTGATGTGTAGACAGATAGAAAATGGATTATCCTTTATTGGTGATATGGTGATCAAGGTCATTCTGGAAATAAACTAATCGGAATTGGCCCACGTAAAATAACGCCTACTATTTTATTGATCATGATTATAGATTAATTGACATATCCTTGGTGATTTTTTGAATCATCGATTATTGTCTACAATACACGAAAACATAAAATTAGTGACATCTCAACAAAATCCCTCTTATAACATTGAGAATCTCGATAAAATTCTTATACTAAATATTCACTTTGGTTTCTCCAGTGTTACTTTTCCCTGAGTTTGGCTTCAGAAACAAAAAAGCTAGACATATTTAAACTTGAACTGTTTTGAATGATAAAAGGAAACATTAAAAACATGGTTGAGATATAGATGATAAATAATGCAGAAATGGGTTCAGTTAGACACAATACTAGGAAACCGAAACATCGCTAAGTAGTTTTCATTGGCTTTGATCATTATTCAGAAAACATAGGCGAAATTATCACAGCGTACCAAACTAACATGACTTCAGAGTTGCGTATTTAGATATTCTAGCTTTTAATAGCTAATCACAGAAGTAGAATATAATTCAATCTATCTAAGCTTGAGGAACACAGTAAGTATGTCGAACGTTTTCCTAAATCAACTCAATTGTGTATTAAGTATGAGACAGAGATCGGTAAGACAGAATCCGGGAATGAGAGGAAATGGGATGACTACAACGATTATGGGGTGAAGCTGAACACTAATTCTAAAGCAAGACTTACAGTCGCAGCTGAGCCTATCCCAGCAGATCTGTGGAGTGCATAACAATGTGATTGTACACTTTTTGGTTATTTGTAGAAATTAGACATATTGTACGTAATTTTTGTTTAAAACGCTTCTTGTTGAAATACACTTGGCTTCCGTGTACGATTGAAAAATACACTCTGCTGTTGGAGACTTCGTCTTCTCCTTGGTTTCTTCGGCTTACTAGCTCAACTCTCACCGTGTTGTATCTTTCGGATTTATTGTAGAAGTCCACTACGCTCAACCGAAGACAATTCTACAACCGGGACACAGCAACTACAACCTACTCCGTCCAAACAATTAACGTCTCCATGGGTTATATAAATAATTTGTAGCAGAGGACTTAAACTTTATTTCCAAGTAACCCTTTTGTTGATATAACGTGTCGTTGCATTTTTGGTAATATACTGTTACTTAACATTCCATTGACTTGAATTTTATTTCTCATATTTTGTAATACTAGTGAACTCTAACATAAGTCCCCTACAGATCTGGTCACCATGCTCTACTGATAGACGTGTGTTGTTCCCAACTACTCATATCAGTCACTAGGATATACCAACAGGCTATTTCGATTGAAATCTTAATTTAGAAAGTTTGAAATACTTTCTATAAACTGACTGAAGCGTCCCGGAAAACTTATATTAGATTGAAGAAGGAGGGATAAAAACAAAACAAGTTAAATTTATTTCAGTCAGAGATAAATTATTTCACGGTTTTCGAGAAGATTAAAAGATACTATTATTTTTTGCTTTCATAATACTTACTTCACTTAACAACTCATTACGTTCAGTGTCATTATCAAAACATCGATGACAAACTGGACAGTCAGAATCCATACGACATAGTCGATCACGGAATTTACGCCATAAAAATACACTTCCTTGTTCATTTGCGCATTCCCTGGAAAAGTTTAAGGAAAATTTAAAATAATTAGTGCCTTTTATAAATTTGGACAGTGTTATTAAAAGACGGAAATTATCTGAAAAATGTGATGTATTTGCGCAATACATTTCAAACAATTTGACCACACATTAACTTGTCAAGTAAACTGATATGAAAAATAAAGGCCAATTAAAATAAACCAAGTGATAAGGGATATTAGAATAAGAACAATTAACACTACGTTTCCTTATATAATCAAATGAGGATTACCAAGGTAGGCTAAGAGTAACAGCAAACAGTTCTTGTTCTACATCGAAGTGGCAATTTGCTGCTAACTTACGGGAACGTGAGGTCTCTAGAAATCCACCTACAATCTTAGACTTTGCACGTTTCGGTATTTCGAAACTGGCCCAGATACAGTTACTTTATATCATGTTTTTTAAGATCTTACAACCCTTCAGTTATCGAAATAATGACTTCAAGAAACGTTTATGTTAAACACAGTATAATTATGTTAGAGGCGGTGATGACATCAAATATTTGATGTTTGTGGTAGACTATTAATTCTTGTCTATTCCGCGGTGGATGTTCATGAAACTCAATAAACAGAATTCCTACCATCTGCAGATAATTTGTTAAATCTTAACTGAATTCTACTGAGCTCAAGTTCTTAGTAACTTACTTTAGTCATACATGGCTACGAAAAATTCTTCCATGTTTTTGATTTGCTGAATACAAATGATTCTACTAATAAGGTATATGAACTGTTTATTTCGATAACACCAAAGAAAAAGAAAAAAACTGCTGATTAGTTAATGCTACTTCTATCAGTAATCTAAGTTAATAACAATTATTGAAGACAACGTATTTCAAAATGGTATTCATCAAACGAAAAAAATAACACATTCAAAAAGAAAACTCACTCTTCTAATAAAGCACGTCTTTGTTGAAGATTAGTCACAGTTTGTTCTAGTTCATCAGCTCCGGGTACAGACAACAACTTTTCTTCTAATACTTTTAATTGATCACGTTTTTCTTGAAGATGATTTCTACAACGTATCACAAAGATTTCAACTCAATGCAACGTATAACTGTTACAGAAAGAAGGCATACACATACAAAACTAGCTAGAAAAAGTAATGTCACAAAGCTTTAAAAGTACTTACACAAACAACAGTTACTATATTAGGGAATATCAAAAAGACTATAATATATGTATGACAAAAAAGAAACATACTAGTATGTCTACACTTATGTGTACCTTGTGAATTTTGAACTAGCTTCAAGCGATGAACGTTCTTGTTCAAGTTTAGCCAATTGTTTTCGTGTCTCTCTAGTTGACTGCTCTATTTCATTGAGTCGTTCAGAAAATACATTCCTTAAACGTGTTTTATTGTTGAAAAACGATCCAAGGTTATCAATAACAGCTAGTTCTTGAAGTGATTTTTCTGTCGTTACTGCAGGTATCGCAGAGCCAGCGAATATCTGTTCTAATGCTTCGGAATGACGACTGTATCTAAATATTAGGCAGGAAAACATCAGATACATGAAGATATCTTTATTATTTGAGAAAAAAGAAGATAGAGCACAAAAATAGGTAACAATGTGCTGCAACTCACATTTTACGGATGCTTTCAAGTTTATTTGCTCGTTCTTTTAGCATTGCCTCAAGTTCAAGATACTTACTGACATTCTTCTGAAATGTTGCGATTCTGTCGCTGAGATTCAATTAAAAAGTATATGGATTTAGTGATACATATAATCACTCCAGAAACAAAATATGAAATGAAAACATAGTAATATTTCAAATTAGAAGTTGTACCATGAAACGAAGGATCTCACAGTCCCTGAAAAGGACATTCCCTGGTGCATCGTTGAGAATAGCGTTATCCAGTCGATCATTAGTGTTCAATAACCTGAAGAAAAAGATCCTGCAGCTGACCAAATCTATGTGCGTTTATCAATTCACCTGTTCGTGTGGAGCTAGGTATATCGATCGTTCAACTCGAGTTTTATCCAAAAGGGTGAAAGAACACTATCCTATATGGTCACGAAGAGGTAGAAATGGAACAATAAGAAGCGCGATCATTAAACATCTAGTCGATAATGACCACCCCATATCTATAGCCTCCACCTTTATAGTCATCTACAAGGCGAAAAGTAATTTGCCCAAATCACTACGTATCTGACTCATCTGTATTGTTGAAGCTTTAGTCATCGAAACAGAAAAGCCAGATCTGTGTATACAGAAAAAGTTCGTTCAACTCCTCCAACTTTCATGGTCTTAATCCCTCTGTGCTAAGGTATGGTTGTCCCTAATCATACTTTGGCTCTATCTATTTTTCGTTTTGTTTATTCACTTTGTATACTCTTCCTTTATAACGTCAATTCTTACTATTACTATTCTCACTTTGAATTGTCCCCGGTATTATTTCACTTGTCATTCTAAATCAATTCTATTTTCACAACGTAAAATTCTATGCTATCAAATTTCATACAATATTACGTAAGGTTTAATTTCATTCGATTTGTCTACTAATCCTATAATTGCATACCCTTTTTCTAAGTTCTATCCATCCTATGAATTATTCTATGTACGACATCAATTGTTTTGCCACTTGACATTTAACTATGATTATCATAACAAACATTTTTATTGCATTTCATACTATTCGTATTATATTATGCTTTCACACCTATGATTCAATTCCCTCACTGGATATAACTTCTTAAAAACCATATATATATATATATATATATATATATATTCCATTGTACAGCTACACGATAAATTCGTTGATATGAGTCTCTTCGCTGAATCACTTGTTTTGATTTTCTGTATGTTACAATAGGAAATTTCAATGAGATAAAATAATGAGGTGATTTCTCCTTAAGAAATGATATGCATTCCATTCCACTCAGCGAAAATTGTGCATCACGCAGTACCGCCAAGAGAAACAATACATTATTTTCAAGGAACAACTCAATCGCTATAAAAAATGCTATGCAGAACTCACACACTTACAGGCTGAAATTAGTAAGTTTTTGCACTTGCAATTTTAACCAACATAATTATGACACTGAAAGTTGAGCTTCAATATTTAAAAGAATAATTATTCCTTCACATTCCCAATAGAATATAAGGCTTTAACAGCACATCTCCATTTCAGCTGGTCCTAGGATTCCCTATAAGCTTTCATTTCCTCACACGATCTCCTCCATGTCATCCTCGGACACCCGACTCGTCGTCTGGTGTTCGAGTTCCACTCCGTGGCCTGGCTCGTGATGTCATTTAATGGCCTCCTCAGCATGTGTCCGATCCGTCCCCGTTCCCTTTGGCATGTTCGTTGGGTCTTGGTTGATTCGTTGCCAGGGTCCGTTTTTGCTAGCCCTTTCTGGCCACCTGATTTTCAGCATGGAGCGAAGACAGCTGTTGACAAAAGCCTGAAGCCAGTTCGAAATGCTTGAAGTGGACAGAAGCATGATTCCACCTTAGTTTTAATGGAGGGTTAAGTCGTGCTTCCTTGGTAGTTCGATAAGATACCCCTTCTTCCAATCCACAGGTACATTTCCTTCTTCCCAAACACTCTGCAACGGTGGTGTGAGGATATCTGTTGAGGCCTCTGGATTCGGTTCCAGTGCTTCCCAGGGAGCCCCGTCCGGTCCTGCTGCCTTTCCAGCCTTCAGTAACCTTATGGTATTCAAAACTTCTGCTTTTGTTGGAAGATTGGTGTTTATTGACAGTTCTGTGGAGGTATTTCTGAACGAGTTGCAGATGGTGATCGGTTTAAGAGTCCTTTGAGCTCACAACTGCTCCTCTTCCCTATTTCGAGTCCAGCAGGTTGCGTCTCTACTTTCTTGAGCAGCATTGAGATGAAGTCTATGTGATTTTCTGTGTGTCCATCTGGTGAAGCTCATGTCGCTTTGTGTATGTCCTTGTGCTTGTACACACTGTCTCCAACCACCAAGTCACTGAAGGCACAGAAGTCTGCGAAGAGTTCTCCATTGTCATTCATTTCGCCGATAACCTTCCGACCCACGACGAATTCTCCCTCTGTGTTGTCTGTCTGCTTCCAGTCTCGTTTGCATTCAAATCACCCATCAAGATTTTGATTGTGCCATTGAAGTTGTTATCCATTACTGTTTGCAGTTGTCTATAGAAATCATCCTTCTCTTGTTGTCGTAGGCGCGTAGCATTACATGATAATTGTAACTTTCCTTCTTTTTGTGTTGAATCTCGCTGTCATTATCCTGGAGGAGACTGGTTCCCGCTGCAAAAGAGCTTTGGATACTGTTGGTAACACTACGATAACCACCCCTTCAGTGTAATCGTGGTTGTCATCTGGGTGACCGGAGTAGATTATTGACTCTCTAGTTAACCATCTGGAGAGTCCAAACTCGTCATATATGCTGTCACAGATTACTACTGCTTCTATTCTTCTCATCTCGTTGGCAATCTGAGCAGCTTCCTCAGTTATCTTCGAACATTGTGCGGACATTCAATGTTCCACTGTGTATTTCCACTTTTTCTCAACAAAAAGAAGACTGACTGGCCTCCTGAAAGCTTCTACTATCCTATCCAACTGGAAGTTCTAATAGTATGTACCACCTGAGCTTGTTCGAGAACCATGTGGCTTTGGCATCCGGCGTAGCTGGTGTTGGTATCGCACTAGGCGCTAGAGACGAAGCTGCGTTGCTTGACTGGATCTCCACTAACAGTCGTTTATGTGCTGTGAGGCTGGAAGGTTATACAAAATTAAGGAGTGGTAGGCCAGATAGGCGGTTCCTACTTGTTGTCTCTGCCTATTTACCAACGGATCGCAGCCCGGATGCAATGAAGGATGAGTTTTGCTGCCAACTGAGGGATCTATTGAAACAGGCGTGTCGGAGGGATGTCGTAGTGCTCACTAGGGACTCGAATGCACAGGTTGGGCGTCTAAGCTCAGAGGAGAGTCGTCTAGGTGGTCAATGGGGACTACATGGTCGCAGGTCAGATAATGGGGACCGTCTTCTGCAGCTTTGCGCAGATCACAATCTATTTCCAGCTAGCACCAACTTTCAGCACAACCATCGCCGTAGCGCTACCTGGCGTCCTTCCTCTACGACTCAAGCTTGGAATCAGATTGATCATATTGCTGTCAGCTTCCGGTGGCGAGGATGCATACAAGACTGTCGCTCCTTCTGAAGCATATGCCTAGACTACGATCATGCGTTAGTGTGTGCCAGGTTCGTGTTGCGATTTGGTGAACTTCATAAACGGTGTCATTGAAACGTTGATGTGAGCAAACTAGTAGCACCTGCTACTTCTTTGAAATACCAGAACGAGTTAAAATCAATGATTGCTAGGAACCCCCCAAGTAGTATAGATGAACACTGGTTTCATTTGCAAGACGCCATGCAAATGGTGAGTGTAGTAGCTTACGACGTAAAAAAGAGCTCCGCTAAAAACCACTGGGTTTCTGCGAGTTCTTTGCAACTCTTGGATGAACGCCGGTCCATTCCAGCTGGCAGTGAATACAGCGATAAGCGAAAAGCGCTTACGTGCAAAATTAGACAGTGTTTACGTAAGCAGCGAGAAGCCTGGTGGTCAGAACGTGCGTGTGAGATGGAGTCAGCTGCTGCATCTAGCAACAGTAGGAAGCTGTTCCAGCTCATCCGAGCCACCGGCAGCAAGACGGTCTGTGAGGCAGATAGTACGCTAATTACCAGCCTGAAAAGACGGCTGGAACGCTGGGCGGAGCACTTCGAGAAACAGTTTAGCTGGCCACCAGCCTCAGTATATGTTGTCACTAGTTCCAGTGCTCCTTGGTCGGTTAGTACCGACCCATCAACCAAAGCAGAGGCTCGTAAAGAACTCCAAGTGTTAAAACGCCATAAGGCACCCGACCAAGACAATCTACCCACGGCTCTGGTAGTGGTTTTATCTGGATTATTCAGTAAGGTATGGGAAACTGAGAATGTACCATCAATGTGGAACAAAGCCATTATCGTCCGCATCTTTAAAAAGGGTCGACGTAATACATGTTACAGTCGTGGGGGTATTAGTCTGCTACCGGTTGAGTCTAAAATATCGCCTGCTGTCTTGCTTCACAGGCTGTGCAAAACACGTGAGGGATTAAGTCGCGAAGAGCAGGCTGGCTTTCGTTCAGGTCGTGGATGCATTGATCATGTGTTCACCCTTCGTTAGTTGTTGGAATACAACCACACGTATTGCAGGCCAACGATCGCTGTGTTTCTTGATATTAGGGCTGCCTTCGATTCGTTGGACAGGACTGTGCTCTGGAACTGTCTGTTAGAGAGGAGTTTACCTGAAAAGTTTGTGAACATCCTAAAAGCTCTACACAGAAACACCTCAGGTAGAGTGAGGGCATACAACCAACTATCATCACTGTTCCCAACTGACAGTGGGGTTGGACAGGGTTGCCTGATCTCTCCATTTCTCTTCAACTTGGCCATCAGTGACATTCTGGAGTCAGCTCTGAAGGATGTGCGTGAAGGTGGTGTAGATCTGCTACCTGGAGATAGACTTTTCGACCTCGAGTATGCAGACGATATCGTCTTACCGTGCGATAGCATGCAGGCTGCCCAAATCGCACTTAATCAGTTGGCGATCAGTGTCTGTAAGTATGGTATGTGCTTTACACCGTCTAAGTGCAAAGTACTGTTACAAGACTGGCAGGAGCCTGTACCTGCACTCACTCTTGCAGGTCAACCGTTTGAATTTGTCGAAAATGATAGGTTTGTGTATTTGGGTAGTTGTGTGATTCCTGGCGGAGGGGTGACGGATGAGATTTCCAACCGTATAATGAAGACTAGGGTGGCATACATCAAATTGAGCCACCTCTGGCACCGTCGCGACGTTAGCCTAGCTGTCAAAGGTCGGGTATACAAAGCTTCGGTGCATGCTGTCTTGCTCAACGCCTGTGAAACCTGGCCTCTCCGGGCTGGGGATGTGCGGTGGCTCTGCATATTCGATCATCGCTGTCTACGCAGGATTGCTTACTTTCGATGGCATCATAGCATGAGTAATTCTGAGGTTCGGCGGCATGTATTTGTACACAGTGAAGATCACCATTCCTTCAGTGTCATTGTCTGAAAACACCAGCTTCGATGGCTGGGACCTGTGCTGCGAATGTCATCCCAGAGGGTGGGATGGAAAAGCCGGAGGGGTGGTCAGTCCATGGCGTGGCGTCGTGGGATGAAGGATATTTGTGCTAGGTTAGCATCGGTTAGTACGTCACGACTCCCTGGTTGGAGTCGGAGAGATAGCTCGAAACGTTATCTGATATGGCCAAAAATCGTAATCAATGGCAAACGTGCTGCAATTTCCTTCTTTCTTTACTTCCCGATGATAGTTGACGAATGCTGCTTGAACTTGTTAAGTATGACGGTTTTCCTTCCAGATGAACTTCTTTATCCATTCTCCACCTATATTTCTTACTTTTAATCGATGTTGCTTTATTATTAGTGTATGGTGCCATATTGTACTAAGTTTTCTGTGTTTAAATAATAAAATAATCAATAAAGTCAGTTTGCATAATGTTCACATTTTTCAGTCAGAATCAAAAGTGAACGAAAATAGATGACAACTATATCAGTCTGAATCAAAGCAACCTAATATACGGTATAAATTTGAATTTCCACATTAACCTTCCAAATACCAGTTAAAGTAGATAATATATATATATATATATATAGCGAGAGATCCACCCACTCTAAGGAACTGATGGAGCTTTCTATTCTTCTCTTTTCTGCAAAGGATTCTGTTATTAAGTGATGTAAACTGTCCAACTCATCATCGATATCTAAATCATTGACGGCGATTTCCTAAAATAAAAGAAATAGGAACAGTGAGATATAATTTGCCTGGCAACAGGAAACAGACATTGAAATAAACGATGAGAATATTTTTAAGATAATGTTCAGAGGAAATGGTTTTATAAGCATATAAGCAATCTAAACTCTCAGATAACCGAGTTTTGTAACTTCACTAAGTAGATGGTGGATATTTCGTCGATTCAGTATTTACACATGTAGTGTAACAGATGAGAAGGAAATAGCATTAAGACCTATTTTATATACCGGGTAACAAACGCGAGAAAACAAGTTTGCAGCTATTTATCACTGGCGATTGAATAAAATATATAGATAAGCATACCATACGCATAAAATATAACCTTACAACGAACAATTGTAACTAGAGAGAACAACCAAGCCATTTTTTTTGCTTAACCAATTCACATAAAATACTATATTTGATTTCTAGTGAAACCACTTAGTTCAAAACTGGTATTCTGAACAAAAAACAAGAAAAAGTTTGAGTTTTGAATACTAGCAAACAGTGACAACTGAAAGTACAAAGCTTGAGTAAGTATCCCGTGATATCCTTTGAAAAGATATTTTCTGCGTTCTATTTTTGTCAATCTTCATTTTCTCTAATGACTATCTTTCTATCTGATAGAAGACACATGAGAACCTTAAAGAATGAAAAAGCTGCGCTTGATTTTAGTTTTACTAAAAAATATTACCGCTGAGCTAAACGAAGTTTCTAAATAATATTTAATTTCAATATAAGTGAATAATAAAGTTTCTTCTTGAATCCAAGTGCAATTTCTTGGATAAAACGCTTCACAACGATACCAGCTTTGAAACTTCAATATAGCGACAGTTAGTTAATGTACATTATATATATATATATATATATATATATATATATATATTATATATAAAATTCAAATAAAGGAGATTATTGTATGAAATTGCTTAGCGGGGATTAATAGAATGATAAATTGAACAAATGTTCAATATTTGAGTACAGCTAAGAGAATGTTGTGACTTCAATCATAACCTTTCATTTAACCTAAAAATGACTGGTGGATTTAGCATATATTTAGTATGACTATAATTGTAAAGCAATGTGGAGTTGAAAAATACCAAGAATCAAATTAACGTCAAACACACACACACACACACATCATTGTATGATTAACAACTTACAGCTTTGTGAAATTCATCCTTGATTTCTTCAAGACGTTTATTTAAAGTGTGTTCATTTTCCAAGCGTTTTTTAACGACGGTTACTTCATGGTTGTTTTGATTCTAGTTTGTGAAAACATTTTATCAAGACACTTAAAAATCGAATTTCATATGATTGAATTGTGATAAAAAGCAACTATGCACATAGGTGAGACTGCTTAATGAGTTTTAATTACTAGAAGTTACTCAGTAAGTAGTATAGTCTAATGTCAAAAACTGAAATAATAATTATGTACAAGTTAGTTTGCAACATATTAGTTAGATGCAGTAGAGATTACATATATTAAAGATGAGAAAAATCGACGTATAATCTTTCATGTTTGAAAGTGGTACATACAATGGGAAATACTGTATTCCGACGCAAACCCCAATGGCTATTCGTCGGCTACCAACTAAAATACTGCAAACTGAAACAACAAAACAGTCTTACTCAAGAGTTGCTTGCTATTTCGACAATGACACACCGGTTGTGAAAATATACATAACATACAACCTTGTGTAAAGACTAGAACACTGAATCGACACTCAATGGGAAATCAGAAGTAAAACAAAACAGTAAAATCAAAATGTAAGCTATAGAATGAAAAAGGTATTTCCAGTTGTAAGTGAAAAGTAAGCCTACAAATGAAGGGTTCTAAAAATGAATTATTACGAATTATGTTGCATTTAGCAACTTATCTTGTAGAACCAACACTTCAAGGAGTCAGAATTGATATTTGAATCAGAATTATGGAATATCTGAAGTCACTCAAGAATCTGCGATACTCTAATGTTGTGGTCCATACACCACATTGTTTGTGTTTACGGATCAGAGCATAATAACGGTACTATACGCCTGTTTATAAAAATGTGTATATGAACACCATACATTATTTATATCGAATCAAACGAAAATACATTCTCTGCTCAATAAATCAACACAATTAATCCGATTGGATAATTAAAAATGGGGTAAATGTTAAGTAGTGGTTTTTCCTTTAGCACAAATCATCCAAAAAGTCTCTTTGTTCACAAGAGCTGTACAATCGCATTTATATAGATAAGTTTACATGGATACAATTCTTCTTCGTTTAATTCCACATAGTAACGAAGGTGATAATAATTTTCAACTTGATATGAAAGTTTGAAGGTACGGATATAAATTACAAAGGCCTTAGAGACAAGATTGCCTAGGATTAGATAACAGTTACAACGTATGCAGAATTAATATTTGATAACTGGAGAAATAGTTTTCAAGGCGAATAAAAGGTTATTTGTGTGTGTAGTTTTCTCTCTTTACCTTCATTCAATTAATCCTATTTTTTCAGTTATAAAATCAGTTATTTTAAGTTTGTTCCCATGCTCCTCCTGATCACACTTGTAATCCGTTTAGAATAACCATTTTACAATTATATTCTAATCCTGTGTAATTTTTTGTTTCTATGCCTCTTGTAATCTATATTCACACCTCCTAACTTACATTTCAAATTGAAAATTTTGATCTCAATTTGTTTCCATGCTCATTTTGTTCACATCTGTAATTCGTTCTAAGCCTCTTGTAATTCACATCAAGTTGAAAACAATTATCACCTTTTATTCGCGTTGAAAACTATTTCTCCAGTTATCAAATATTAATTCTGCATACGTTGTAACTGTTATCTAATCCTAGGCAATCTTGTCTCTAAGGCCTTTGTAATTTATATCCGTACCTTCAAACTTTCATATCAAGTTGAAAATTATTATCACCTTCGTTACTATGTGGAATTAAACGAAGAAGAATTGTATCCATGTAAACTTATCTATATAAATGCGATTGTACAGCTCTTGAGAATGAAATCGCCGAAAAGATATCTTTGCTGAACTTCTTGTTCTTGGGTATTTTCCACGATCTTTGTTCACACACAAAATGCGAACCTTCGCTTTTAAAAATGAAATAATTAGAAAAACGAAATGGCCACGAAGACAAAAGCTGAACAGAGTAGTACATCCTAATGGCTGATACTTTAACTTTGTGAGATTTTTATTAAATCAAAGTAAATTTGATGTCAAAAAGAATAAATCCCTACAGAGATTTTAATTCACTCAAGAATAAGGCTACTACAGTACTCGCACTAAACAAAAAAGTATGTTACTTATATGACAATTGTTAAAGTCAAAAACTATATTGAGCACATTGCTTATCCTGTTTTACTAAGCAGGTTAAGACTCAATGGCGAAGATGTGGTTTGGTTTCACTAACACTGAGAATAAATAACTATGATAGCATTTCTTAACAACAAAAGAGATTTCAATTTCTGCAGAAATATAAGCTGTATAATTTAACTCTCAGACAGAGTGTGATAGACCTCTAGAAAAGCTCTGTGATTCCATAGAAGCAGCGGAGTGAAACGGAGTTATTCGAGGTGGCCATTCCTATTCAATTTTTCCACTGATCAAATTCTCGCGAGAGAACTAGTAAAAGCAGCACATCGAAAATAAAAGAACCTATCCTACAGTGTTACACATTTATATCTAATTTACAATCATTCGATTGACCATTCAGCGCTTAGTATCATTATTGAACGCTTATAGGAGAAATTAGATAACATTCTTCGCTTAAAAGTAATTCCCTGAAATGTAAGTATTCCCGGTCATCTACTAGTGTCTAAAAAGTGGGATGTAGTAAACAGTTTGCCAAACATTTGTGTCAGACCTGACGGCTTAAGAGGTGTCAATGTATGGCAATGTCAACACTAACACTGTTTCTATTCCCTTATTCATCGACAAAATAATTTTCCTAAATTCGAAAAATTTTAAATCACGCCATTTACACGGTAACACTAAGTCGTAAAAATGTGACTATGGAATACATAAATAAAAAACAAACAAATAATGGATTATTATTATTATTATTGTAGCGGTAGAATGAATAAATAGAAATAAAACAGGAGTAAATAGTAGCAGCTTAAATCGCTACCTTGGAAGCATCGTTTCAACTACAGGTGGAACTGACGAGGATATTAAAGCAAGAGTCGGAAAAGCAAGACAAGCTTTCACTACTCTCAAGTCTGTGTGGAGGTCAACAACACTCAGCATCAAAAATAAGATCGGGATTTTCAACTCCAATGTGAAGTCAGTGCTACTATACGGATCAGAAACTTGGCCAGCGCGTCAAAAAGAGCATCTCAAACAAACTACAGACCTTCATTAACAGTTGTCTTCGCTCAATACTCAAGATCAAATGACAGGCCGGGAAAGATCAGCAACAGGGATCTTTGGGAACGAACCAATCAGGAACCGATTGTGAAACAAATAGGCAGGAAGAAATGGAGATGGATTGGCCATACTCTTAGGAAACCATCAAGTGACATCACTAGACAAGCCCTTGAGTGGAACCCGAAAGGGAAGCGGCGAGTTGGTCGTCCAAAGGTGACTTGGAGGAGGTCATGTGAAGAGGAGATGAAAACGTGTGGGCAGACTTGGAGCCAGGTGAAGACTCTAGCAGAGAACAGAACGCAATGGAGATGCACGGCTGAAGCCCTATGTTCCTGTAGGAATTAAAGGTTACAATAATAATAATGAATAATAAATCGCTTCAACGATGTAAAAGACCCTTAGAATAGAAAAGAGGTTAACGTACAAAATGAAGTTTTGTTGTTTCTATTTTCTGTTTCACACCAGCCAATTCGTCCCTAGCCATATCAATATCCGCTTGAACTTTTCTTTCTTCATTTGCTGATATAAGCTAAACAAACATAAAACGTAAAAGCACTTTCTAAGAATGTCCACAATAATAAACTAAAGAGAAAAAGCAGAAGAATATACTTTTTTCTACGATGAGTCTGAAAATGATACCTATTGGAATTAAAGCCGTTAATATCACTCACAATTCAGTGACAGGTCAATAATCACAAAATATGCGATTTCTGTAGGTGTAATTAGTGACAATATATATAAAAAACCTCTTTGACATTTGAGATATCACTTAATTAAATCAGTATTTAGTGGTTATATGATATGCGCAGAGTTAATAAAGGAAAATTTTCGAAGACAGGCAGGCAGAGTTTAGAACCCAGAATCCACAGACACATAATTATTAAAAATGTGAATAATAATTATACTTTAAACATTTGGTTCCCTTGATAAATTTCGACAAAGAAATGAAGACGAAATTTGCAATATAAAATGATATTATTCTATTTCACAGGTTCTCATCAGCTGCAGACTACCTGAAATTACAAAAATTATATGGATGATAATAACATACTTTAATGTCTAAGTAGTAGTAGAAAAGTGCGTCGGTGGCATAGCGGTTAGGACGCTCGCCGACCATGCACATGGCCCGGGGTTGGATCCCCGGCCGGCGCACTCCCTTTACCTCGCTAAGCCGGAAATAATGCTGGTGAAGAGGAAAGGTTGAGCATGAGGCTAGCAACCACATCCTGTAAAATAAGCACTGCTACAGAAACTTCAAGCCTCTGGCTTGAAGCCCTATGTTCCACTGGGAACGTGAAGGAATAAAAAAAAGTAGTAGAAAAGAAATACTATAAAATTGACGCATCCAAAATGTAAGCATTACAATTTTTAGTTTAAGTTTTCATCATCAATTTATACGCTTTTAAAGTAGAAAAGAGGGGAGAGGGGTAAGACAGGAAACATTCAAAATTAAGAAACAGTGTAAGCTTGTAGATTCACATAGCAACTCAAAAAACAAAAGTGGTTACAGTTTATAAGATTGAGATTTGTTCAGTGAGTGGTCTCTGCAGCTGATGAGGACCTGTGAAATAGAATGATATCAGTTTATACTACAAATTTCGTCTTCCTTTCTTTATCGAAAACTATACTTTAACTGCTATGCCTGACTTCAGCAAGGCGAGTGCCTTCACTGACTAACCATAACACTAAAAGTATTCTCCTTCAAAACTATAGCCTTTCAATAGGTGAGACGGAAAATCTCTCAGTTTGGTTCAGTAGATGGATAGTGAATTATCACTAAAATGAGAGAGGTCATACCTCGTGTGTAAGATTCTAGATGACGATTGAGAATAAAGAAATAATTTTCAAGGCAATACTTTTCTCTAAACAAGATGTACTTATATCTAGTGCGAAAACTAATTTCACGTGAAAACACAAAATATACACGTTGTGAAATAGTTTAACGGTATCAGCGTAGTAGAGATTTTTCTGTATAAAAAATATATGATTCAGCAAAATGTATATTAGACAGAAATAATAAAATTTTCTATAGTTTGGTTTGTAAGGATTAGTTATGTTTTACGAGTTGATCACGGACTGATATCAGTTAGAGAACCATTGAAAACCAGGGAGTACTGGACAGCTGCTGTTTCATCCTAGTTTGGGAATCATCGGAAGTACGCACCCACTGGGATTCGAACCCAGGACCTTCCGGTTACAAGGCAAGCTCGTATACCATTCAGCCACTGGGACCCGATTCAATGGCTCTTCAATTCTAACTTCTACCAATTCGTGATTTTAGCGCGACCCCAACTATTGTCGTTGGTGGGACATCCATCCACACACGTGACTTCTAATTGGACCTCACTGGTCACGACTTCTCACTAGAACTGCAGGAAGCTCCAACCTGTAGCAAGTCACTAGCGAGCATCAGAATAATTTCCTATAGTTTGGTTTGTAAGGATTAGTTATTCTGATGCTCGCTAGTGACTTGCTACAGGTTGGAGCTTCCTGGAGTTCTAGTGAGAAGTCGTGACCAGTGAGGTCCAATTAGAAGTCACGTGTGTGGATGGATGTCCCACCAACGACAATAGTTGGGGTCGCGCTAAAATCACGAATTGGTAGAAGTTAGAATTGAAGAGCCATTGAATCGGGTCCCAGTGGCTGAATGGTATACGAGCTTGCCTTGTAACCGGAAGGTCCTGGGTTCGAATCCCAGTGGGTGCGTACTTCCGATGATTCCCAAACTAGGATGAAACAGCAGCTGTCCAGTACTCCCTGGTTTTCAATGGTTCTCTAACTGATATCAGTCCGTGATCAACTCGTAAAAAGAAATAATAAAAGATGAAATTATAATTCAGTAATACTTTTTCAGCTACATTTACCTTGACTTCTGCTAGCTGATTTTCAGATTCATGAAGTAACCCCTCGATATGGTCGGCAATATACTGAACATCTGTATCATTGAACTGTTTAACGCCTTTATATCTATCCTCTGAAGCAAACAAGCATATGTTAAAAAAGGAATTATTTGAGCATCAGGAAATACCGGAAATTTTAGGCATTTACCATTCATAAAACTAACTCAACGATGGACAACATCTGCACACACTAACACAGTGTCATAATCGCGGATAAACTGATCACATTAGTAAGTCGCTTAAGAACTGTTTATGCTTAAAACAATCAATCCATTTCATAAATTTGAATCAGGCGTTTAGAAGACAGATTTCGCGAGATGATATATCATTTCGTAGTTTCTTTACAACCACTTTACAACTAACATGGTTCACAATAATAAAATAAAGTGCATGACAATTACTCAGTTATATAAAACAAAAGTACATACTAAAGACCAATCATATTCAAATGGGTCAAGTAATCCATCGTAGGCAGAGGTTGAAGTCTATTGCTTTTTGTACATATAGTTTAGGATGTATGTGATTAATCCAAAGTGCTTCCATCAACTTTAATAACCAACCTTGAATAAGAGTTATGTGAAATAATTGTGAAACAGTCATTAATACTGAATTTGTGACCTGGCATTAAGTGCTTTGCAATGGATGATGCTGGATGTCTATACTTAGTCTGAGAAACTAGTATTTTAACATTATAATTTGATTGGTAGGCTCACCAAATCAGTGACGACAACAGTAAATATGAAGTGTTAAGTAAGTAAATTACGAAATGGTATTTAACACTTTTCTTGACTGTTGTGGTTGAATTACTCTTATGCATGCCATTGATCATTCACACTGGGAACTTACAGAAAACCAATTCCTACATCAACCAAACATCAAGGAATTTGCAAGCCATCACAGTATGCATCCAACAATGAGAAAATGAAAATCAATGGAAGACCCAGGCGGTATTGTTTCAACTACAGATTACAAAGTTGGGGATATGAAAGCCATCCATAATCGCAAAAGCAAGACGGGATATACACAAGACTCAGAATATGAAATAACACTTGAATTCTGTTTAACGTTAATATCAGTATTTCTATATGCTTTAGAAATTCAGCGTGAACTTCACGAAAAGCGTATCCAAAACGTTACCGAAGAATTTAATTAAACCTTGCCTTCGCTCAGCAGTGATGACCACATGACCAATACGAAAGGATAACCAATAAGGAACTCTAGTGTGGTGAGAGCTGTCTGCGGGTCAAAGTTGGTAGACAGCAACTTACGTCCCAAATCTTGGTCATGAGAAAAAAACAAGAACAAAGACTAACTCAACAACCAATCACAGAAGACTTAGTGTGGGCGGATACGATTAACAGATATATCAATGGACTGTCTAAGAAACGGCAACAAAGAGATGACAGAATAACCTTCAGCAGGAAAGCAAACGATCGGAAGACGTTACCTCTCTGTTAAAATAACGAATAATAATGTACATAAAAATCTATAAATATCTGTTGATTTTCTCAGTAAAGGATCCGCTGTCTGGCGCTTGTCTTCTGTCGTTACACTGGAAGTGAACAAACCATGAACCTATTACCCAACATATATGCAGAAGTAAGTGTAAGTGAATTGGACACACGTTAAGAAATTAAAGTGAAATCACACTCCAACACCTCTAGCGGAACCCGAACGGTGAGCGACAGGTTGGGCGTCTACGCATCAAATCATTGGGGAGGAAATAATATGATGTGGACGATCCTGAAACTAACTAAAAAGACTGCACAGAAGCAAGTGAACTGGTGATGTCCTTCTGAAGCTATGTTCCACTCGGAAATCAAATAATAATAATATTTCAGAAGCCGCATATTCTCATTCAACCTGCGCTGGGGTTCTAAAAAACCCATGTTACATAACACAGATATATAAAACCTTGAGAATGGTTGAGGCTGACCTCTAGATTCAAGAAGATTTATCTGAACTTATTACTTATATTATACTTACATTACCTTATAATAATATGAGACTTTAACAAAATAAATTTTTCCCATAATGGAGTTTCATCGGAACTCCTGAAAAAAAAGTATAACAATTTTAATTCTTAATGGGCGATAGTTTGAAATTCAGGCATTACGTCTCCAGACTTTTACAGGGTCTAAGGTAGATTTATGTCAAAAAGTTGCCCAATGATTCTTGATTTTATTCAATGGTTGTTTAGTTGGTGTCAGTTTCAAAAAAAAGATTTATTCCGAAAAAAATTTTCTCGAGTGAAACATTTCGCAAGGAATATCCTTAACAATATAACGTGTTAAGAATCCCATATCGATTCCAATAATGTGATGAATTCTATTACTTTATCAGAGACGAAACTGTAACCATTCGTATAACGTCTCTAAATTTAATCAAAGGTCTTCAGAGTATCTCAAAGAAAGCTATTATAGCTAAGACTTTATTTTGATAAATCACACAGTGTTGTACAGTATTATTAACTGATGACGTTTCGAGCACAAACTATTGCTCATAATCATATCAAGTCACTCACACAACTTGTTTCCTTCATTTATATACATGAGTGGAATTAATCAGACATTTGAATAAAATCAATATAAGATAATGTACATTGAGAAATAATATGAATGTTATTGATCAAATACGACCAGATGGGAAATAAGATGTTTTTTACCGTAAAAATAAGTAACTTGATACAATGTCATAATGTGAATTGAATACATTTTAACATTACTTAGTATCCTCTGATTTGACTGGTGGTAATAATATCTTCCATATCTTTGGTGTTTACATTGAGTCACTTCTGTTGCATATATTGGGTGTAGACTCGATGGACCAGGATTCAGTAATCAATCTCTCTCTCTTTCCACCTACCTACATTACTTTTTAGAATTTTAACCCTCTCTCACTCTATTGTGTGGTTGGGTGTTAATGCATGCAGTGTGGTTGCTGAGTTTTCTTCTATATTACTTATCTTCGTGGGATCAATCATTCTAACCTTAGCTAAATTCTTATTTTCCGACAATCTGACTACCCCCGATCTACTAGTTTGACCTATGTAGTTGACCTCACAGTCATTGCAGGGTATTTTGTAAATTATATTATTTTGTCTAATTGGGTTAACTAGGTCCTTTAACCTATAGAGCTTGTCCATGAGTGAGTTCGTAAGTTTAAATGCCACTCTAATAATAATAATAATAATAATAATAATAATAATAATAATAATTGCTCTAATTCCTGCTCTATTAAGAATACTACCTAGGGTCTCAGATGTCCCCTCCTTATATGATAAAACCGTCGATGCCCCATATTTCTTCTTATTTGGGTTATCATTGTTAGTTACATTGTTATTTTTATTTTGCTTTTGGCCTTTTCTGATCTTCTTAATGAATTCTATAGGATAGTTATTCGATACCAACGCTTCTTCTATCTGTTTTATTTCATCATTTAGGTCTTTTCTTGGACTACTTAGTGCTACTGCTCGGTTTGTTAAACACTTAACTAAGCCTGCCTTAACAGTTAAAGGATGAAACGAATTGAAATCTAAATATCTATTAGAATTCGTTGGTTTTCTATAAACACTAGTGTGTAGTTTGCCTTCTTCTATTCGTTTTATTTTACAATCTAACGTCGCTAATTCTCCTTGTTCATTTTCGGCTTCAAATGTGAATTTTATTCCCTCCACTAGTGAGTTTATGTGTGTTAAGAAGCTAGAGATATGTTCTGTTTCTAATACTGTGAAAGTGTCAACCACATATCTCCAGCATATTTTTGGAGTAGGATGAAATGTATTCAGAGTAATATTTTCCCAGCTGTCCATAAAGGTATCTGCCACGATATGCGATATTGATGAATTTTGCTACGATTAGAATGATTGATCCCACGAAGATAAGTAATATAGTAGAAAGCTGCTACCTTGACGTGGTGGTCGGGCTTGAACACCGCAATGACCCAACAAGCTATACTGGCTGGAACTTATGTTCCTGCAGGTCCTACCATGCCAGAAAGGTTGTTTGGATAGCGGTTAGACCAAAAGCAGTTACCCAATCCAATCCTATGACTTCAAATAAATCACAAAATATCATGCCGGATCGGTCGGGGCCCGGATTAACAACGACCGCGCTTTCTGCTGCCGTGTCACAGGGCAGAAGTGATGAATACGCTACTGAGACACACCAAATGAAAAACAAAAACAGGCCGTGTGTGACCGGCCTCAAGCAGTTGTCCCCTGGGCTCTGCGGTCACGCAACCAACTTCCACGGTGTGGGCAGCCGGGAAGTAACAATCGCCCTCACAATCCGAAGTGCACGCGAAACCTCTCTAATCCTCACTCACCTTTGTCTTCATCTTCATCTCTATTATCTTGCCTTCCTTCTACTAATGCAACTCCTCTACTTAATGGCTCTTCACTTCCTCTTCACTCTGTGTGCACTGAAAACGACGGAAGCCAAAAAACCACCATCGATAGTCTCCTAAAGCCACGTCACCAATTTCATATAGGGGCATTTAATATTAGGACACTTTGCCAAATAGGACAACAAGCATCACTAGCCAAGACTCTGGCATCCCGAGCCATTGATGTATGTTGTGTTTCAGAAACACGCATACAAGACCCAAGTGTGGTTATTCACCTAACCCCACCTGACCAACAGGATGAATCTGCAAAATTCACCTTGAGGGTGTCAGGAGATGCGACGGCTAGCTCACGAGGATTAGCTGGTGTTGGGATAGCTTTGAGTACTAGGGCAGAAAAGACATTACTTGACTGGATCCCGGTAGATAGCCGAATGTGTGCTGTCCGTCTGAACGGATCAGTGAAAAGGAAAAAGGACTGCACTACTCGCCGATGCCTTTTCGTAATCTCCGCCTACGCCCCCACTGACTGCAGTTCGGATGAAACGAAGGATGAGTTCTACCAAAAGCTGTCTAGTTTGCTGCGAAAGGCTAAACGCTCAGATATAGTCGTTTTAGCTGGTGACTTTAATGCCCAAGTGGGGAAATTGTGTCAATCTGAGAAGAATGTCGGTGGCACATACGGAATTCCGTGCCAGCGAACCGACAACGGTGACCGTCTCCTACAGTTCTGTTCAGATAATCACTTGTTTCTTGTAAGCACTAACTTCAAACACAAGGAGAGACACTGTTTGACCTGGCCACCTCCATCATCAAACCAACGCTGGATACAAATAGACCACATAGCAATAAGCTATCGTTGGCGTGGGTCGGTAGGGGATTGTCGCTCCTTCTGGAACACGTGTGTAGATACCGATCACGAACTGGTCCGCGCTCGTGTGTGCTTACGACTGAACGGACGTAGGAAACAGCTAGCGGTAAACCCATCACGTCCCCAGCTCGATCAGGAAACTAAGTCCCTATTTGAGGAAGAACTAGCTAAACACATATCTGAGTTCGACAGTTGCGCTCACCCTGAAGAAGCCTGGAAGAATATTTAATCAGCCATAGATACAGCTGTAAAAGCTGTGAATAAGGTAAATCCAAAGGTGAGTAAAAACCATTGGATTTCGACTGCCTCATCCGAACTGATAGATGCTAGAAGACTTATTCCGGCGAGCTCCGAATTCAATGAGGAGCGAAAGCTGCACAAAAGGAAACTTACGAAAAGTCTCCGCAAGGACCGTCAACAGTGGTGGTTGACAAAGGCGAAAGAGATGGAAAAAGCATCGGCGATAGGCAACTCTTTAGACTCATCAGAGAAACGGGTGGGAGAAGGCAAATCATAAGTGAGACTATTTCTGAGAAAAATGGCTCCTTAATTAGCTCTCAGGATAGACACCTCGAACGCTGGAAAGAACACTTCGAGGAACAATTTAACTTGCCTACAGCCACACTGAGCCTCCCTGCCATCCAGCACACACCCGAATGGGATATAGACACTGGCCCGCCGTCTGTAAGTGAGGTCACCAAAGCTATCTGTAATTTGAAACGAGGCAAAGCGGCAGGACCCGACGGAATTATTCCGGAGGTGTTTAAATATGGGGGTGACACACTAGTATATAGTTTAACTAAGGTACTAGGTAACGTCTGGGAATCAGAGACGGTTCCATCAGACTGGGGTAAGTCACTTATTATACCAGTATTCAAGAAGGGAGACAAGTCCTCATGTGATAATCATAGAGGAATCAGCCTGACGAACATAGTCTCTAAAATCCTAGGCTCAGTAATCATGAACAGACTAAGCCGAACTCGGGAGGAACAAACGAGGGAAAATCAAGCGGGCTTTAGGCCAGGTAGAGGGTGCATAGATCATATCTTCACTCTCCGACAGATCCTAGAACATAGACACACTTTTAGGCGTCCAACCATTGCCATATTTCTTGACTTGAAGGCGGCCTTCGACTCCGTGGATCGAGAGGTACTATGGCAATGTTTGACTATGAAGGGAGTGTCAAGAAAGTACATTGCACTAATCAAGGCACTCTACTCAAACTCACGTAGCTGTGTAAGGGCTTATGGGGAATTGTCATCTGAATTGATAACAACCAGTGGTGTCCGTCAAGGATGTCCACTTTCCCCTTTTCTGTTTAACTTCATCATAGATATGCTAATGGAAGTATCCTTAACTGAACTTAATGACTTAGGAATCGACTTGTTACCAGGGAATAGTCTTATAGACTTAGAATACGCAGACGACATAGTCCTGTTAGGGGAGGACGCTGACAAAATGCAGAGTCTTCTGAACACCTTGAGCAGCAATCTTCGTATGTTTGGCATGCGATTCGCCCCTGTGAAATATAAGATGCTGCTACAGGACTGGACTACGTCAACTCCAAGCTTAGTGATAGGGAGTGAAGTGATAGAACATGTTGACCACTTCACCTATTTGGGAAGTTGTATCAGCACCAACGGATTGATTGGTGACGAAATCACAGCACGGATCCAGAAAGCTCGGGCTGCTTTCGCTAACTTACACCGTCTCTGGCGTAGGCGTGACATCCGGCTGTCAACCAAGGGACGTGTATACTGCTCAGCAGTTCGCTCCGTCCTTCTCTATGGCGGTGAGACGTGGCCATTGAGAGCCGAAGACATGAAGAGATTGTCTGTTTTTGACCACAGATGTTTACGATCTCTTTCTCACGTTAGGTGGTATAATAAGGTAAGTAATGTTGACGTTAGGCGTAGAGTGTTGGGCAAAGAGGGAAAATCACTCGAAGAGGCTATGAAGTTACATAGATTGAGATGGTTAGGTCACGTGCTGCGTATTGGCCTAACCATCGTCTCCCCTGACGGGCATTACTAGCTGATATAGGTGCAGGTTGGAAAAGAGTAAGTGGTGGCCAAACAAAAACATGGGATCAATCCATGAAATCCCTGACAGTTAAACTGAGTCAGGTAGGGAGATGCAGACTTCCGGGTTGGGGCCATCTCGGGACTCTAAGAATCAATGGCTGGAGACAATAGGTGACATGGCTCAAAATCGTTGTCAATGGCGCAGATGTATTCAGTCTCTTTAACCTTCATATTCCTTTCTACCATTACTCATTCTGTTTCACTCTTATACTTATCTAAATTCTATTGATTCTCTTCTCTCATTTTCCTGTCTACCTTTGTGTGCTATTTGGAACGTGGCAACTCGAACTGCTGCACTTCGGTGCCAAGTTCTATGTTGAATCCAGCAGCAGCAATATAGAAGAAAACTCAGCAACCACACTGCATGCATTAACACACAACCACACAATGGAGTGAGAGAGGGTTAAAATTCTAAAAAGTAATGTAGGTAGGTGGAAAGAGAGAGAGATTGATTACTGAATCCTGGTCCATCGAGTCTACACCCAATATATGCAACAGAAGTGACTCAATGTAAACACCAAAGATATGGAAGATATTATTACCACCAGTCAAATCAGAGGATACTAAGTAATGTTAAAATGTATTCAATTCACATCAACTTGATATGATTATGAGCAATAGTTTGTGCTCGAAACGTCATCAGTTAATAATACTGTACAACACTGTGTGATTTATCAAAATAAAATTTTGTTTATGATGGAGTTGTACTCTACCACAGCTCTCAAGTTTCATGCTTACATAAATAAAGGATTTGTTATTTGCAATGATTATTAATGCAGTCAAAGAAGCGCTTCTCTGCATAAGTAGGAATTTTCATTAAGATATTCCCGCATCCGCGTTGAGTGATGATGTCCCCACTGGCACTTGAAGTCAGCACTTATCTTTAAAGGTGTTATCCACTGAATTACTGAGCCACGAGAGGCACTTCGTATGAAGCAGACATCAGTTGTAATTTTAAATTATCTTGAATTTACCGTGTCTTCTAGATTACACCATGTTAACATTAAGGCGTCATAGAAGTCTCCGCACTAGGAGCACACACATATCAGCAGAGTGTTTGTGTTCAGTAAAATCAATCGACGGAAAATTCAGAACTATTTCAACAAACCATTTTTCTGTGTAAACTAAAAACGATTAGGTAAGTTGAAGCGTTAAATAACGTTAAAAAAAGAAATATAAGTTTATATTATAACCTGAAACCACTTTATACCTTTGTATATTTTCATATGAGAGATAACGTACCAGGTATGTAATGAGAAACAAGTGATGCTAAAATCATATTACGACTGGTTATTGTTTCGCTTAAACGCTAAAAATTAAAACAAGGATGGTTACATAATGAAACTAATTTTTACATTTTATAGTGAAAATATTCAACAAGATTGTTGTAGTTACTTCTAGTGTAGTGTTTAACTCTGAGAGAAGAATAACGACTTAACAAATAGTAAATTGCATGGAGGATTTCATCATGAGCTGACATCAGTTAGAGAACCACTGGAAAACCTGGGAGTACTGGACCGGTGGACGCGTACTGATGAAGAGTCCCAACTAGGACGAAACAGCTGTCCAGTACTCCCAGGTTTTCCAGTGGTTCTCTAACTGATGTCAGCTCATGATGAAATCCTCCATGCAATTAAACAAAATCCCTACCAAACCAATACTTGAAAATAGTAAATTTACGAAGCCAAGTTGCAATTCTGTAGTACGCTGTAATCCTGCAGTTGATCAGTGGAAACCCCTACACCTAGCTTCAGGATCTGTTAATGCTTCTCAGTAAGACTCATTTGCCACCTCCAAGAAACTCATTAATCCTGAGCGTATTGCAACCAGTGACTTCAGAAATAAGCTGGTTAGGTTATAAAAATAAAGTCGTCCTGTGTATCCGTACGATACGGATATGTGATTCTCCTTTTCTTATATTCTAAAATTAAAATTATACTCTCACTTTGAATATTCGTTGTTTAGTCGTCGCCTCTTCTATGTGTATCTACCACTTTTACTGCAGCTGCGGAGCCAGCTACATTAGGCGTACAATTAGGCAGGTTCATCGTCGTATTTCCGAACATCATCCAGCATGGTTAAGCAAGGGACAAACAAGATCTATTCGTAGTTCTATTTTAGGACACCTTGTTGGTACTGAGCGTAAGGTTGATGTGAATACTGCATTTAAAATTATCTATCACATTCCGACTAATCTTAATTTTGCTCTATGAGTTTGTCTTCTACAGACAGCTGAAGCAATCGGAATCCACATGAAGAAGCCAAGCCTATGTGTTCAGAAGAAATTTGTACAGCCACTTTCCTTACCGTGACCATCTCTAGAAGAATACATAAACAGGACTACGTCGCCCCCCTCCCCCTAAACTTTTAAAAACTATAAAAATTATAATAGTCCAAATTATTTTATTTTTATTTATTTTGACCACTTTATCTTTAATTACGTGTTATCCTTGTAAAATTAATTTTTTCTATCCATCTCTACCTTTTAAATTCGTGTTGATTTTCTTCGTTAATTATCAACCCATTGACGTTTTGACACTTTAATTATTGTTAACAAACATATCGCCACTTAAATAAAGCAAGAACAACAGTGGTTTGTGCAGAATAATATGGTACCATCATTTATTGGTACCATATTATTCTCCACAAACCACTGTTGTTCTTGCTTTATTTAAATTCATCAAGGGGAATAAATGCATGAAGTTTCTCAAATATCACCACTTGTTTGGTAAACTGTTGTGTATTGTAATAAAATGCTATGTATATTAGTGTAGAGCCAGAGATGAGGATCTAATTGAAAAGTAAATATTTCTTCGCTCAAACTTTCTGTTTTCTAAATGTCTAAATGGGGATTTTTCCTATATATATATTATATTGTCTAGCATTAATAAACAGATGCCCTTACAAGAACCTAGGGGATAAAATAGTGCATGCTTCTTTTAAAAACAATGCGTCTCTAAAATGTAGTTAGTTTTAGAGAATACATACATAATTTATAGGACAATGTCAACTGTAAAATAACTGGGATTCTTATTAGTGAACGAATTATCATAACTTTAGTTAGATTTTTAAACCTTATCACATGATAAGTCATATGAGTAACCTGTTTCAGCAAATCGATGATAGAATGACGTAACTCCATTATGGATATTACCTGTTAATATACAGTTAATATTACTGTATAACACTGTGTGATTTATCAAAAAAATTTTATCCATAATGGAGTTATACCCTACCACAGTGCCCAAGTTTTATACTTATATCAAAATGACGTAACGTTTTATCTCTATTTTACTGGGCCAGCGCTAACCAAATAAAGTATAATTAAATTTCATTGGTTTACACACGATGATAAGTTTTTGTTTTTGCTAATATTTCGAGTAAAATTACTGACAATTCGAACAGTTGGTGTGAACACGGGCAGTAATTTCGCTCAAAATATTACTAAAAACAAAAACTTATCATCGTGTGTAAACCGCTGAAATTTAATTATACTTTATTTGATCTATTCCACAATGCTCAAACTTTTTACTGACAGTGCTAACCAGTTAAAAGCTTTTGTACACTAAATATGTACTTTATTACCTAATTAATTATATATAGATATTGATACTTACTGATTATTTATTCTCTCCTTCACAAATAAGTCTAGTCTTCTCGGTCAACCTTCAGTACCTTTCCAACAGTGTGGTGGACAGCATTCGAGTGGTGTATCAAACACTATTATCTATCAAGGACCTATGGGTGTTAGAAGAAGTCTCTAATGAAGTATTATACAGTTACTTCAATTGACTAGAAGACGCAGAAGGATAGGAACAAATATCTCTGAACACTTTTGTACGACATCAGGTCCGTCAAGTAGAAAAACATAACTTACAGTTAGGCATTTAGTAGGAATTTTTACAATATCATGTCATCCTAAAATCAAGCTTACAAATTCCAAATTAAGCTCCTACTATATAATCAATAAAACTATGCTACTATAATATTGATGAATTATTTAAATATAAGAATGACAGTCACCAAGTTCACATTTATTAGAATACCTTATCAACATTCACTTACTTTAACTTCCATCTCAATTTGTGCTCGTTCAACTATGCTTTTAGTTCTATCACTTTCCAAAGCATTCAACTCTTTACGCTTTTTTTGAAGCATATCTTCAAGCTGAGATTGGCATTAGTGTATTATACAAAGAAAATGTAATAAAAGTGCTTTTAATTTAAAAAAAAACTGTTGAGCAACAATATTATTTGGTTAATAAGCAAACTTGATACCGCAGATACTAAGAAACGTACGTAAATCCAGTGTTAGGGTTAGTCAGTACTCTCACAAATATTTTTTAATTGTTGTAATTATTTAGTAAACACATGATAATCGATCAGATTTGGAGTGATTCAGTCATACTGTGACGGTTCATGATGCTTGCTATCTGTCAAATCTTTAGAAAACAGGACAAAGTATGATATTACACGAGTTATTAAAATAGGAAATGAGCAATTACAGGATTTCTCACAATGGATGGTTCAACAACATGTCATACTTGAACGTCTTCACCGATTAGTCTTATGGTCGTAGACTCAAAGTAACTGCTTACATGGTCGAATGATTGGAATGGGTGATTTTAAAAAATTTAAAATATGATATCGGAACATGAAAACAGACAAGTTTTGACTTTTGTTGTGCATGTGGTAAAAAAGTGGAAACCTTAGATTCTCTTTTACGCAACTTCGCTATTTTATCGCTTTCTGCACTAAGATTTTGTAAGATTATTAATTCGTACTTTACTTTTCATCCAATGTTTTGCCGGCTGAGCGAAATAATTCGCAAAGTTCTCCCCTGTTTACTATATGTTCATGAATGCACAGTTCAGTAGACGTTTTTGGTAGGGGAAATTTCCTCCACTTGTAACTTTCTTAAAGTAGCAGTATCAAACAGCTGCTTGCATGTATTCGAATTTTATCTACAAAGCAAAATCTAATGACTATGAAGTTAAGTTAATAGATCGACCACATACATTCTGATTAATTATACGTCACAAGGACGTTAACAGACTAGTCTAGATAAGCCTAACTGTCTCAAGACCAACAATCCTGCAAAATGTCCATTGAAATTTTTCAAAAGAATAGTTACTGACGGAGATTATCTGAAAAATGTGGTGTATTTGCGCTACACATTTCGAGCAATCTGATCACACATTTACTTATCAAGTCGATATAAATAAAAAAATTTAGGGCAATTAAATTAAACAAAGTGAGAAAAAAAGGATTTAAGAATGATTAACATAACGTAATCGATAAAGTAAAAGGGAATGGAAAACAACTAGAAGATATATAGTCACAAAGAATATCAACAGTCTTAATCAATGGTACATTAGTAAACAAAGTTTTATTACTATTATGTACTGACAACATCCATTTTACGTTTGAAGGTGAACATTTTCGACAGGTGGATGGTGTTGCTATGAGGAATAAATTAGGACCTTTGTTAGCGGACGTTTACATGTCTTATGTTGAGAACTTGTCGATCGTTTTAATCTCTGAATTGCTCTTCTATAGGGGATATGTAGATGATATCATTTTGATATGTGACGATCATGAAGATGCGAGTCGTCCATTAGATAGACTTAACTCTGTACAAAATCATATAAGTCTTACATGCGAGGAAGAAAGTCGCAACCAGCTTGCACTTTTAGACATAATTCTGAGTCGAAAATATGATGGTTCAATAAAATGATCAATCTTCGGAAAGCCCACTTGGACAGGGCAATACCTTAATTTTCGCAGTTTCTGCCCATTACAGTATAAGAGAGGCTTAGCGAAATATCTATTTCAGAGGATTCAACGTATTTGCACAGCTGATTTTATACAGGAAGAAAGTGAAATACTGATGGATACTCTTGTTGAAAACGGATATCCTCCAAAATTACCATATAACGGGGAAATAAACAGTAGGATTTTGAGACAAAGGTTGAATTTGGTCGTCCGTAGAACCTATTATGCAGCCCGGCTTGTAATTATTGAAAAAGCCAAAAATATGCCCCACTGCAAACCTAAAAAGTGCACAAGCGATTACGCCACACTGTTTACCAATTTTCGTGTGTGTGGACACATACATAGGGAGGAGTAATCGTGCTTTGCATGTGAGGGTGGGAGAACACATCCCGAAATGGTTAGAAAAACAAATGAATTGTGGCAAATCAACAGACGCAGGTGGTAAACTACCAACTTCGACTATAGGTTAACACCTAATCGAGATGAAACATAAAATTGATGTTAACTCAGCCTTTAAGGTCATCCATAAAAATGGTCAAGGGCGCTTATTGAAATACGCTAAGGTTCTAGCTATTCATAAACTTAAGCTCACCCCCCACCTGTGTATTTAAAAACAGTTTATTGTTACTGTTTACCTACCTTGGTAATCCTTATTTGATTGGATTACCAAACGTTGTCTTAATCATTCTTAAATCGTTTTTTTTCACTTTGTTTAATTTAATTGCCCTAAATTTCTTCTTATATATTGACTTGATAAGTGATCAGATTGTTTGAAATGTATAGCGCAAATATATCACATTCTTCGGATAATCTTCATCTTCTAATAACACTATCTAAATTTATAAAAGGGACTAATTGTCTTAAATAGTTACTGAACAAAGAATACTGTTTTCGATAACTTCATCATCAGGCTCTACAGATATTTGTACATAATAGTGAATGAATTAGTGTTATCAACAACATTAATGTTTAAATAACATCGAATCAATAATATCGAAAGATTACATTTCAATAGCATCAACGTAACAATAAACTGAATATCAGAGAAATTAGGAAAGATAATAATACAAATTCATGTGCTCGAAACGTCATCAGTTAATATTACTGTGTAACGCTGTGTGACTTATCGAAATAAAATGTTATCCATAATGAAGTTATACTCTGCCACAGTGCCCAAGTTTTATACTTAAATCAGTTTATTGTTATGCTGATGCTATTGAACTGTAATCTATTGACATTATTGATTTGATGTTATTTAAACATTAATGTTGTTCATAACATTAATTCATTCACTATTATGTATATATAACTGTAGAACCTGATGATGAAGTTATCGAAAAGAGTATTCTTTGTTCAATAACCATTCTTTTGAAAATCCTCTAAAACCCCATGCAATGATTCCACGTTTGATCTAAACAATCAAAACTCTTTAAAACGTGATCCGACTTCATTTGATGTTGAAGAATGAAAAAGAAATACGTCATACTTCCCATACGCAAATACTTCACACATAAATGGGAAGCATTTTGAAGTCTATAGAATACCATATGAACAAATTATTACCTTTATGAGCATACCACGGAATATGCTGGAGTTCTAAAACGAAAGACTACTAACCTGATTAAGCTGAAGAATTTTCTTTGTATACTCTGTTTCAGCGTCTTCAACCAGATGCTTTAGCTCTTCATCACTGCCTATAACAAACAGATAACAGTTTCATATAAGTAGTAATTGTTGTATATTAAGAAACACTCACGACGACGACTCGGAATAGAAATGGTAACAAAATGGTGAGTATAGCAATAACTGCAGTAACAGCAAATAAACTCAAGGGTAAAAGTGAAATTCAGCATTAGATATATGACTGCTAGATGTCATATAAATAATAATGGACAGCTGATCTAGCAGGAAATAAGCAACAAATTAATTACAATTATCTGAATTTCTACGAATTGTGCTAATTAATGATGAACATTTTATCAATAAGCTATATGATCTCACCGACCTTTTTATGAAATTGTTTCAAATAACAATTCCCCCCAAACTTATGTATGTATTCATCATATGTTTGTTTTTATAAATACTAAAAACTACTTAACTTGAAAAAGGTATTTTATAAATTAAGACTTAAAACTAAGAAAATTTTCAAAGATTTCTTTTCCCTCCCCCATCCTACTTATTCGGCACCTTTCACTATTCAAATCTACAGCAAAGGAATTAATCTATAGAACATGGAGTAAAGAATTAAAATGCTTTGTAAATGTCATATTTTGCCGAAACTGAACATTTTGTTGTAGTGAAAGAAGTATTTATATAGGTTACTGAGTTGGAAAGACAGACAGAAGAATGTATAATTATTCGAGGTACAACTGAAAGAATTGTTCTTTTGAAAGGTTATACGAACGGACAAAATAGCTAAGAACTAATATCTAAATGATTAATGTTGATAATAAGAGTAATAGAATGACAGTAGGTAATAATAAAAATAAAGAACCTAAAAGTAATGTAAAAGCAAACAAATACACAACAGAGTGACATGTCAATCATCCCAACTCTTACCTTTAAATTCATCATGTACATTCATCAAAAGGTTCGCGATAGCATCCGTTAAATGAGCACGTTCAGTTTCGCAAGATTCTAAAAAGTAAATTCGCAAAAATATCATATTAACATGTTAAATGTTAGTAAGTTAAATGCTCAGTGATTGTTATTTATCTATAAGAAACTTCGCATCATGACTCTATGATCATATGCAAATAGTAGATGACTAATCTCATTATTCATATACCATGATCTCCAAACTAAGACTAGGATGATGATTCTGCTTCCAGAGATGATGCGATTCGATTACTTGGAAAATTCTGACTAGTCAAATATATCAAATAACATCACTAATATGACATTTAACAGTACACAAACAACAGTCATCGCTAGGGAATTCTTGAAGGTAGCGGAATAGAAGCCACAAAATAAAAAAAGACATGACATTGGAGAAATGGCCCTAAAATAATCAACCTTCCCTATATTATTACTTCACCGATAAGCTTACCACTCCCATATCCGTGAAAGAGGGAAGGTGAGGCGTTGAGCTGATCACCCTAACCCAGAAAATCATTCCAGTCGCAACAGAAACTTCAAATCACAGAATAAATTTAAAAAATTAACCCATACTTCATTGCAATCGGAGATACGGGATGACGCGGGCTGGCGAAAACTTTAGGGAGGCCAGTCAGTCTTCTTTTGAGAAAAGTGGAAATACACAGTGGAACATTGAATGTCCGCATGAATGCCCAAATGGTTAACTAGAGAGTCAATAATCTACTCCGGTCACCCAGATGACAACCACGATTACACTGAAGGGGTGGTTATCGTAGTGTTACCAACAGCATCCAAAGCTCTTATGCAGCGGGAACCAGTCTCCTCCAGGATAATGACAGCGAGATTCAACACAAAAAGAAGGAAAGTTACAATTATCATGTAATGCTACGCGCCTACGACAACAAGAGAAGGATGATTTCTATAGACAACTGCAAACAGTAATGGATAACAACTTCAATGGCACAATCAAAATCTTGATGGGTGATTTGAATGCAAACGAGACTGGAAGCAGACAGACAACACAGAGGGAGAATTCGTCGTGGGTCGGAAGGTTATCGGCGAAATGAATGACAATGGAGAACTCTTCGCAGACTTCTGTGCCTTCAGTGACTTGGTGGTTGGAGACAGTGTGTACAAGCACAAGGACATACACAAAGCGACATGAGCTTCACCAGATGGACACACAGAAAATCACATAGACTTCATCTCAATGCTGCTCAAGAAAGTAGAGACGCAACCTGCTGGACTCGAAATAGGGAAGAGGAGCAGTTGTGAGCTCAAAGGACTCTTAAACCGATCACCATCTGCAACTCGTTCAGAAATACCTCCACAGAACTGTCAATAAACACCAATCTTCCAACAAAAGCAGAAGTTTTGAATACCATAAGGTTACTGAAGGCTGGAAAGGCAGCAGGACCGGACGGGGCTCCCTGGGAAGCACTGGAACCGAATCCAGAGGCCTCAACAGATATCCTCACACCACCGTTGCAGAGTGTTTGGGAAGAAGGAAATGTACCTGTGGATTGGAAGAAGGGGTATCTTATCGAACTACCAAGGAAGCACGACTTAACCCTCCATTAAAACTAAGGTGGAATCATGCTTCTGTCCACTTCAAGCATTTCGAACTGGCTTCAGGCTTTTGTCAACAGCTGTCTTCGCTCCATGCTGAAAATCAGGTGGCCAGAAAGGGCTAGCAAAAACGGACCCTGGCAACGAATCAACCAAGACCCAACGAACATGCCAAAGGGAACGGGGACGGATCGGACACATGCTGAGGAGGCCATTAAATGACATCACGAGCCAGGCCACGGAGTGGAACTCGAACACCAGACGACGAGTCGGGTGTCCGAGGATGACATGGAGGAGATCGTGTGAGGAAATGAAAGCTTATAGGGAATCCTAGGACCAGCTGAAATGGAGATGTGCTGTTAAAGCCTTATATTCTATTGGGAATGTGAAGGAATAATTATTCTTTTAAATATTGAAGCTCAACTTTCAGTGTCATAATTATGTTGGTTAAAATTGCAAGTGCAAAAACTTACTAATTTCAGCCTGTAAGTGTGTGAGTTCTGCATAGCATTTTTTATAGCGATTGAGTTGTTCCTTGAAAATAAAGTAAATTGTACAATGATGAAGAAACGTAAATATTATGTTTTTCTAAATTTATCTTCAAAGCAGGTTTAGTCTAGTTAACAAAAGTATATTTAAAGCTGAAATTAAATTTATTCGTCTTTAGGCTTTGATGAGAGTTGATTATCGACTGAGAATGTTTGGCTTTGGTATGTAGTAATATGGGTTGTCAATTACGTACTCAGTGAAAATTGTAAAGGCCAACAAAGCAGCGGTTTATGTCTATGGGTATTTTATCGGTCACTAACCAACTAAAAGTGATTTAAATGTGATACTCAGCATAGAACATACATAAATTGTGCTTTAATTTCACTCTATCTTTCTTTAAAACAGGAAATTTATACTTACGAGAGAAATTCAGTCTTGTACTGTACTAACATGTAATTGAACTAAGAAGTAGCTGCCTCATTTAGAACCAATTAGAGCTTGTACGCAGAATCACGCGACAATAAGAATTGTAGATGTAATTTTGTAAAAGAAAGTCAGATAAGTATTATATAAAGTCTCAAGATAATAACCGATTAGACCAATTAGGCCACAACAGTGCTTTGAAGTATGAAATGATGTGTGCTGGGTTCTAGTTCCAATGAGAATAATAATAATGGCTTTATTCCAAACAGTATTTGTGGTACAGGTATGGAATTTTCAGCGTGCATTACAATATTGCATCTAATTACCTCATAAATTTTATAAGATTTTAAAAATAAAAAGCAACAACAACAAAAAGAATAAAAGAGAAATAAAAGAAATAAAAAAAGAACAACATTGCATTCACATATTTAAACAATGCACCACAGGATATGAAATATAAAATTAGTGTGTAATAGAATATGTGAGCAACAATATAATAGTAACAAAGAAAGGAGAACAAAAGCTAATGGGAACTATTTGTTAGAGTGCCGCAGTAAGGTGATCGTGTCATGCCTAACAGTTTTCTCATCACATAACAGCTGTGCCAGATAAGGCATTATGCAGTTTTTATACTTGGTAGTCCTGGCATATAGCTTCCTATAGTTGCTTCTAGTTCTACCAGATGAAATGCAAGGAGACAGCTGCGTATAGAGAGGGTGTTCGGGGCCTGACAATATAGAATTCGCTAGTTTCTTACATGACATTATATGTCTATCCACAATAGTGTTAACCAGTTGGTTTAACGAAATCCCACTTCCCCTACTAACAGCTTTTAGCGCCCTACGCAGCGAAGCGAAGTCTTTCTTAAGTAGTCCAGGGAAGATTAATGGTGAGCAGTAAAGAGGGATGGGTAGAATACAGGATTGACAAACTGAGAAAGCAAAGACTGCTTTATACCAGACTGCCTTAACTTCCTAACGTAGAACGTTAAGCGAAACATCTTTCTAGTAACTAGCAAGATGTGAGAGGACCAGGAAGGATCGGAGGAAATACTCAGTCCAAGATACTTGACATTAGATGTAGTTTCAACCTCTATGCCGTCAATGATAGTGGGACCATGTGAGCTAGCTAGTTGTTGAAGGTCACTTTTTCGTCTGAAAGTAAAATTTACTACCTGACATTTAGAGGGATTCAGCTTAAGACCGTTTGAAGAGGACCACTGACTAATTTCCGAGAGAAAGTTATTTAATATGGAACAGTCTGACTGAGAGTTGACAGGCATGGAGACAGAGAGGTCATCAGCATACTTGACAAAAATGGCTACATCAGAATGGAGCAAGTCATGTAAGAAAAAAGAAAACAGAAAAGGAGAAAGACAGTTAATCTTGGCTGGCAGGGAGCGATAGTTAGTACTCATGATTGCAGGAACGGTCATAAATTGAATAAGGGTGTTTTTTAAGGCTCTTTGCCACCCGGCATGATGCTTTTTTTTCGTCTTTTTTATGGCATTTCCGATCAGTAGGTTTTAAGGATATTAAATACTCACGAGAATAAATAATCCGATTAGAGGACATATTAGAATATGGTTTAATTATTTAAAATAAATTGGAAATGAGCAATTAGATGCAATATGATTTGTAATGATTAAGGTATTTGGTAGCCCAAGATTTAAGCAGGCCGCCAAGGTCATGTACACCATTATTTATTGTGGATTAAAAGCACATCCAACTGACCAGTCCTAAATAAAACAAAATGCGCACTCTTGATCCCACTGCTAGTCATCATCCACCAAATATCATTGAAGCCTTTGTATCAGGACCCGACATGTCAACCGACACCAAACACTTCAGTCCGATACAATCAATTAATCGGAAATACAAAATTTACTTAAACAAATAATTAAATATTTTACGCTTTTGAAAGGAAATTCATCCTTAAAAAAATAATGTGTGAACCAGTACTACTTTGATAAAAGAAATTACGAGGTAAGCTAAGCAACACGGTGTCTGCTGATAACAAACATCAATACAAACTTGGAAAATCTATTAACGGAAAACTTGACTTAACTTACAACAACGGGCTGCAGCTTAGCGGACATTTCTTCTAAATTTTTTTCTTGCTCTTCTATTAAATGAAGCGTTTCTTCACGTTCACATCGAAGCTATGAGTTGTAAAAAGCATATTTCGTTTTAATCAAGCCATAATTAAACATTCACATAAATTTATTCATAAAACTGTTCATTCTGGAATAAAAGTGGTCAGAGAAGTTTCGGGTATAATAGACTATGTGACATAAATTTTTGGCAAATCAATCCGTGGTCAAACTTGTAAAAATAAGTAGAAAATTGGGATTTTGGTGTAACCCACAAAATATGTACAGAGAATCTAATAGAAAAAATTTCTATTCCGAGTAAAACTCATAATCTTTAGTATTTGTAGATGATATCTTTAGTACTAAGTCCTTTCAGTAGTCATTAATTAGCAATTGTATTAATCACAGTTGGAAACCATATGAGGCTTAAATCAAAATGTGTTAGGTTATTCATACTGTGGTGAGAGCTGTCTGCTGGTCAAAGTTGGTAGACAGCAACTTACGTCCCAAATCTTGGTCATGAGAAAAAAACAAGAACAAAGACTAACTCAACAACCAATCACAGAAGACTTAGTGTGGGCGGATACGATTAACAGATATATCAATGGACTGTCTAAGAAACGGCAACAAAGAGATGACAGAATAACCTTCAGCAGGAAAGCAAACGATCGGAAGACGTTACCTCTCTGTTAAAATAACGAATAATAATGTACATAAAAATCTATAAATATCTGTTGATTTTCTCAGTAAAGGATCCGTTGCCTGGCGCTTGTCTTCTATCGTTACAACACAGCTTAGTCGGTTGGGACGAAAACATCTGGGTGTTTAGGAAATTTAACTTGTGTGATCAAATGTCTAACTGTAAACAGCAGTCACAATCACCAACTTCAAATACCACCACAGTGTGAGGAAAAGAAGAGAGAAGACTTGATCGTTGGAAGGCCACATTTGTTGCCTCACATCAACGGTAACAATAATAATAATAACAGTATCAACGACAACAACAGTACAGTTAGCTGACACAGAGTAATAATAGTAATGAAAACATCATGATAATGCAAACATTTCGATAATTGGATAAGAACAAAATTAGAAAATGAAACGTATAGATAATGTATGATGTATGTATGATGAATGTTTGAAAGGGAGTGGGACTTATTAGTGACAGAATTATTCACTAAATTTACCTCAGCCGATGAAGAGAGATAAGTGTCGTTCCTACAACTTCTTTTAATGATATAGGCAAAACAGGCACTCGTGATAAAATGTTTCCTTGACCACTGTAATAGCAAACACAATACACCCCAATGCGATGTGATTTACCTCAGCAACAGCTAAATACTCATTATTATTAATCTGTTTAAATGACGATGAAAGAAATACTTTAACCACTGCTGAGTGTTATTTCAGTTTAATTTCAAAAAAATAGAATCCACCACATATTTCTTAAGTGTGAAGATCAATGGAAAAATCAACATCAGTTATAGTCATGACTTACTTTAGAAGCTTCATCCCGACTTTTTGTCAAGTGTTTTAATTCAGTCTTGTATAATTTGACATTACCATCCTATGAATAAAAAAAATCTATAGGAATTTTATGAGACAGAATGAAAATTACAACAGTAAACTGAGTAGCAAAAAAGGATCCACAGTTGTCGGTTAAAAATTATTCAAAACACCTCGTTGTATTCAAACACTGTGAAGTAGTGTAACCTGTAATATATGAGCATACGAAATTTCAAATTCAAATTTTCTTAGAACCTTCATATATTCTTTAATCATTTACTCACACAATTCTTATGTTTGGATGTGAGCGGGGTTGTTACATTATCATCATTTACACTTTCTTCTTTATCTTCACACCTTATTCCACTCTGTGGTTCATTAGTGTTTCAAATACTAGTGTGTCTGATCTGTTTTCAGGGGCAAAACGGATGCGGTCGGTCGGTCAGTTTTCGACATAGAACTTTGCACATAAGTGCGGCAGTTCAAGTCGCCACACTCCATTTAGCACACAAAGGAAGAGAAGTGCATAATATAGACAGTAAACAGAGGTGTGAGACAAAGGAATAGTAATAACGAAGAACAAAACAGTTTCGTTGGAAATCATGAGTCACAAGGAGTGGATGCATCTGCGCCACTGAGAACGATTTTGAGCCATGTCACCAATTGTTTCCAACCATTGGTTTTTACCGTCCCGAGGACCCCAACCAGTCAGGAAGTCTACACCTTCCTACGTGGCTTAGACTAACTGTTGTAGATTTCATTGACTGGTGCCATGTTTTCGTTTGACCGCCGTTAGCTCTTTTCCAGCCTGGCCCTATATCAGCTAACATTGCCCGTCGAGGAAGGCGATGACTAGGCATACGTAACACATGTCCTAACCATCTCAGTCGATGTAATTTCACAGTCTCGTCCATTGATTTCCCCGCCTTACCTAGCACTCGACGCCTAACCTCAATATTGCTCACCTTATCATACCACTTCACGCGGGAGATAGAACGCAGACACCTATGGTCGAAGACAGCTAATCTTTTCATGTCTTCCACTCTCAATGGCCAGGTCTCACAGCCATAAAGGAGGACGGAGCGGACTGTTGAGCAGTACACACGCCCTTTGGTCGATAGTCGGATATCGCGTCTACGCCAGAGACGGCGTAAACTGGCATATGCGGAACTAGCCCTCTGTATTCCTGCTGAGATTTCGTCGGAGATCAACCCGTTGGGGCTGGTGGTACTTCCCAAGTAAATGAAGCGGTCAACGTGCTCTACCACTTCACTTCCTATTTCTAATCTAGGGGTCGGTGAAGTCCAATCCTGCAGCATCACCTTACATTTTACAGGGGCAAATCGCATGCCAAACATACGGAGATTGTTGCTCAAGGTGTTCAGTAGACTCTGCATTTTGTTAGCGTCCTCGCCTAGAAGGACTATATCGTCCGCATATTCTAAGTCGACGAGACTACTCCCTGGTAGCAAGTCAATCCCTGAGTCGCTGAAGTGTGTTACGGTTAAGTCCATTAGTACGTCTATGATGAAGTTGAATGGGAATGGGGATAATGGGCATCCTTGACGGACGCCACTAGTCGTCACCACTTCAGATGACAACTCGCCGTAAGCCCTCACCTGACTGCATGCATACGAGTAGAGTGCCTTGATCAGTGCAATGTATTTCCTCGGCATTCCCTTTACAGCCAAGCATCGCCAGAGAACCTCTCGGTCGACAGAATCGAATGCCGCCTTTAGGTCAAGAAATATAATGATTGTTGGACGCCGGTTGGAATGCCTATGTTCTAGAATCTGTCGAAGGGTGAAGATGTGAAACAGCTGCTCTCATTAATATTTATTTACGGTGAGAAGGCAAGTAATTTTCTGAGTTCATGGTAAATATACAAAGGCTTTAAAAGACAATATCGACCAGACTGGCAGCCAGATATCGTGCAAGTCATTATTAACAACAAACGGTAAAATGCAAAATGAATACAGCTCGATGGTTTAATATACTAAAATGTGTGTTACATAGCGGCCAACAATGCTATCTTTATAAATATACACAGGATGTAGGGTCGACTGGAGTATTAGCACTGTATTGATTTGGGTGACTCATTAACAAACAAACAAGCTTTAAGAAACACTATAAACCAAGGCGTACTGAGCACAGATTTTGTTCTACTTTGAAACTCTTCAGGAAGGCACACCTATAGGTACATGCGTAAGCAAAATAAAGGCCATATCTCACAGTAAGTAGGGTATTATTCGGGTACAATGTTTCCAAGTGAGGCTTCGTCTAGATATAGCACCAATACTATCCAATATCCTCGATAAGTCCCCGTTCTCACAAGCAGCTTGATGGAATCCACCCATCATACCTTCGAACTATAACTTCAAGGAATTTATTCCAAATCGAATAACTGGTGAGCAGTGGATTGAAATAAAAGTTTTTTTCAAAAAAAAACGTATTTCATGAATTTACCACTGAGTGACAACCAATGTAGTCGCTTAGTTATGTGTATTGATTAAGTTTACAAAGTGGTTACTAAGCTAGGTGTTTCACGATATTGTTGTACATTATAATGCACCCTCTGACTTGATGTTAGACAACTACCTGAGTGAAAAATTCCAAAATGTATCCGAAATTAATAGACGATAATTACAGTTATTCACATAAATCACAATTACTGGAATCTAAGTCCACATAAACCTAGAAAACTATAACCGAAAAAAAATAAACAGATCTTATTTTAACTAACGTTGTCCTGCTTGCACTTTCTAATTGCGTCCAACGCTTTCACGTAACGCGAAGATGCGAATAAATCGTCAAAACGTTGCTTCACTGCTTTTGCTTCTTGTAAAGGCCTAAAAGTGATAAGAATAATGAAGCTGTTTGGACAGACTTAAGAAAACAGGACTCCGGAGCCAATATACATAAAAATATGCAAACAGAACTGAATTCTGTGAAGAGATGCGAATTTTGGTTTCTAAAACTATTTACACCTCTGACTCGAAGAAATGTAATGCATCAGCGCAAACACTCAAATTTTAACCAAAATGTAACAAGTTCAAACCACACTTTTCCCAACTCAGCCTGTGCAACCAAGTAGTATTGAAAGCATACACTTTACTACATTAAAAAAATTTGCACGACAAAAAGGTGGACGATACTATCTTCCTAAATTAACTTCATAACATTATAATAAAGGTTTTTGTATTTTAATTGATTAAAAATGCCCATTAAAATTTTCAAAAGAATCGACACGGAACAAAGAGTACTCTTTTCGATAAATTCATTATCAGGTTCTACAGTTATATATACATTATAATGAATGAATGAATTAGTCTTATGAACGACATTGATGTTTAAATAACATCAAATCAATAATATTGATAAATTACAGCTGAACAGCGTCAACATAAAATAAACTGAATGTCAGAAGAATTAGGAAAGGTAATAGTACAAATTTATGAGTTTATAGTCTCTACTGAGGGCCAGGGCAGTAGTAGGGGCTGGAATTGTTTCTTTTGAACACAGAGCATTGGTCGTTTGAGGCGAATTGCAATAGCCTCTGCTGTTTGGAGCAAGCGGTGCTTCGACGATTTTGGTAGTTTGTTAGGTACCCGGTATATTATGGAGAAGGATTCGTCTACGCTGGCTTTGTGACTGGTTTGCACCAGATGGTCTAATATCGAGCTGTTAATAGTTCTAACTACACCTTTACTTAGCCATAGTGGGATATGTTCTCAAGCACGAAAAATCAAGTTCCTAGAGCAGCGGCCAACATAACTCGCTCCACAAGCGCAGTTGAGTTGATAAATACAATTTGAAGTGGCCAGTCTAGGTACTTCATCTTTCAGTCGAGGTAGCACCATCGGTCTTGTAGAGTATAAGATGTGTGGTTCATTGGGAAATACAAAAACCTTTATTATAATGAATATCATATACTCAATGCCCAAATTTTTTCAAACTGTTAAAAGTGAACTTGGTTTGGACATATATAACTTCATAACAGTTTCATTTGATATAATGCACACGAATGTATCATTACATTAGTGAATGATGATTCCGGTACAGTTTATTACCTACAATCATTTCATTGAGGACTTTATTCACAGTCATATAAAATGCTACTCAGTAAACTTTAGGTTAAGAAAATAATGAGAAAAGTGTGTCCGCATAGTATAAGAGATACGAATGTAGTAGTACACTTTGGTGTACTACACATTTTCACAACAAATATGCCCAAAGAACAAAGTTGGATGCATTAGATTATAACCCGTAATTATGAATCGAGGTTTAGTTAGTTAAAATAGCTGTGTTCAGAGTAATGGAAATTTATAAGTCGATTGGGTGTTTCTGAAGTTGTTGTGTTCTCCGAGCTGGATGTTATTCATCATACCTTAGATAAAATGAAGAATGGTGAAGATGTGCTGAAAGTTATTGGGAATTATGACATATCCCGACCTTGAGTGGTATGCAGATATGTTCTCACAGTTCCCAAGTGATCAACTAAGTTCTTTAAATGATGTGGTCCAAAAACATTTATCGAAAACAATCTGTCCTCGTGCAATTACTCTCAACTGACACATTCAACATTTGCATGAATCACATTAGTTTCACTTCTTTTGCTACATACAGCAGACGATGCTTTAGTTGTAATTTAAGTCATCTGGTATCAACTATAGGTTGATTAGACGATTCCTTAATTAGAATATCAATCTTTCCACAGTTCGACAAAAAGAATTGTTTCTACAAGTGTTTGCTATAGATAGAGCCATAAAACAATATCTCGTGATATCATTTGTGCGCATAATTACTAGCTAGAACAACAGATTATAATACGCTTACATAGGACAATATGCTTACGAAAACATCCTATTCAGTAGTAAAATGTATATGTTTGAAAGTCTCTTCACAAATGAACCTTTTGTTGGATGTAAGAAATTTTCCCTCTTTAAAAACAATATATAGTTGTATGGGATCTGTATCTCAGTGTTCCGACTACTACACACAATCGCAAATCTGCTTGGGCTTACTTCTAATCTGTCGAAGGACCACTAAAGAAATGATTTTGCAGGTAATCTTGCCAAACTTCATTCTCGTGCTTTTATTATGTGACGACTCCTGCTACCATCAATAAAGTGGTCTATGGTTAGAGCTAATAGAGTCTGATTTCACTTCGCTCCACATATGAATTAGTCTGATAAAACACGCAAAACACATCCTCAAAAGCTTTTGTAAATAAGTCATAATCTGTTACTGTGCTTTGACCGAAAAATGATAGCTAGGTGCCCAACGAGTACAGCATTCTTTTTTTTCACCGTCCTCTCGGTACAACTTCTTGCTTAAAATTTCTTATATTTCTCCTAAGAGAGAATTTTAAAGGAATCACGTTTCTGTTATTAGCATGCGGCTTTCCACACTAGGAACTTGAAATTGAGCAGTGTGCTCTGATGGTTTACAGTGATTCAGTTTTAAGTGCGTAAAAACATATACTACTGACTGATTGATATGAGTAGTTGGATAGAACTAACACAAACCGGTGGTCTTGTGATGTGAATAAAATTGCGGTTTCCAAAGGAAACTGTAGCGAAATTTCACCTCGAACCGTTTAAGTTGCGAATTAATTCGCAAATTGTGAATTCGATTCAGTTTTAAGAACACATAAGTGAGCAGTTATATTTCATTTAGTAACTTCTTATCACAGCTGCACAGTTATTTAGGGATGAATATGTACCACATTAATGGCCAACAAGGGTCACAGGTTACTGTCAGTCAGTAACAAAAGTAAATCACAGCGAATATGAAAATCACGAGTAATATTGTTTAATAGAGAATGTTTTCAACTGATTTGTTACGTGATGTAGAGTTAGTTAGAAATAACTGATAGGAGATGAGAGCAAAAACAACTGAGTCACACAAAAAATGCACAGAGTTCATGATGTAATAAATCAGAAAGATAAAAATGATACAAAGATCATGATAGTAAAAGAGGTTGGATAAAACGTTTCTCAACTCAAAGTTCAAGTCCTTTCAAATGGGTAGCAAAAGTTTCGGCTGCATAGGGAAGATGTAAGCGAACTCCTTTTGACCAACTAGATTTTTTCTTTATTTATGTATGTCTTTGAATGAGGCATCCGCTGATGATACATGACTAGAAGCAATAATGACTCTTAGAATTGAACTGTTGTCTGTCCAACGTTTGCCTTCCGGCAACCATGCTGATACGACTTCATGAGCGCCTCTAGACAATGTTCTGCTGGTACAGCCTATGTATTTAACAGCACAGAAACAACTGAAATGCTGGATGTAGATTGAGGCTGGCAACAGTGGGAACTTGTTTTTGATGTTACGGTCAACAACAGAGTAATTAAAGGTGGGGCCTACAGATGTAGCAAAAAAAGGTTCTTCCAACTGTTTACGATAGACGACTTCGAAAGACTTCATACCCCATGAATTCCAGATTTAAAATTAATTATTTCTCTGTCACATCCAGGTTTCGTGAAGCATCAAACTTTCAATGTTTTTCAAGGAAGGAAATTGGTCATCGATTCTTAATTAGTGTTTTTGTTCACAAGTCCCTACTCAATGTCTCTACGGTGCAAAATGTGACAGATTCACGGAGCAAGAGAGGCGATGAGACTTCTGTTTCTGCTTATTGGAACAAAACTGTAAACCACTGTTGTTCTTGCTTTATTTAAATTCATCAAGGGGAATAAATGCATGAAAACTGTAAACGTTTTTCACTTGTCTATTTCATTTTGGCTTGTGGTAAATTTATGTTTATAGGGATTCATCCGTTCGTCTTGAAAGCTGGACACCTAGGAAGAATAGTTTGCCTTCTAACTCAGCTTCAGTTTTTAAGCCGACTGGCCGATCAGCATTGCTAAAAATTTGCAGGATTTTACTTAGTTCAGCATTTTCATCAATGATGATAAAGATATCATCATGAATCGTTTGTGAACTTGGAGCTCAATGATGATCTGTTGGAAGCTGCACAATTTCAGGCACGCTATAGAGCTATAAGCCAGTAACAGGCCAACTGGAGACCCCACTGCTACTCCATTTTCCTGTCTGCATATTTGACCGTTGAATAAAAACTGGACATTTTACATACACCTCAGTATTAGCTCCTTGATATACGTTGTAGGCACAGCAACTTTGAAACTGCTTGAGTCTATAAACTCACATAGACAGCACACAACGTTTCCGCTAAAAGGACATTGGTGAACATAGAAACTACGTCCATTGAAGCCATAACCGATCCAGACACATTCATTTGTCTGGTCCAGTCCATGAATTCAAACATGTCTTATAAGGAATACCTCACCAACGTCTTTCTCACAGGTTTTTCAGTTTCTGCTGACCATCGCACTACGGGAATGGTAGGGTAGTCTAGACGTGTCTAGGATTGGACGGTGGATTTACGGCAAACCACCAAGGCGTGAAACTGTTAAGCCAGAAGGTTAAATCGTTCCATAGGTTTGTGAGCTAATTACTTAGTTCTGTTATGTCTTTAAAAGGGCCTTTGTTAACTGCTTTCCATTATGTACAATGTTGCCTTTCTCTCAAATCTAGCTTGAGAACTCGTTGCCATCGTTCAGAATTTGAGATCTTTGAAATGTAACGTGATCTGTGTAATTAAATAGTTGCATTACCTCTGTCTTGGTGCGTACATATTAAGTCTTTATTACCAGATAATTAGTTTGACTCCATCATATGTTGTCTGGTTAGAATTCGGCGGTGTTCCTCTATTGGACTTCAGATAGCAGTCGAGTAAGGTTGACTTGAAGTGTTGTGATTTTTTATTAGGAACTGAGAGTAAGTCTCTTGTTTGACAAACCAGACTGTCAAATTCGAATTCAGTGTGAAGATATGAGTCTTTAGAAACTTGATAGCATTTCAAGCCAAGTGATAGTGCGTAACCACTAGACAAATCATCAAGTACCGAGAGCGTATATCACCAATTAAATTCAAAGCTTTGTGTTTTGAAGCTTTGTGATTCAAATGGCTATCACTTCTTTGAAAGAATTTCTGGACAAAAGACCAGAGAACACATTTGAACTCATTTCATATCAATGAGCACTTAGGATTCTTTAAGTTATGAAAAATGTCCACGTGATGTGAATTAAGAATACATCAGTTAGCAAAGAAATCTATTTTTGTAACTTCTCATTCAGTTATTTTAGCATATAAAGTTTATATATATATATATATATATATATATATATATAAAGAAACGCAAACTTACCAGTTAGAGTCTTCTTGATGGCAGAAAATTACATTTTCAAGAACAGCTTTTGATACTCCCAAACTTGACACCATCTAATTAAACCATTTTGTTAAAAACTCATTTTATTAGTAAACTATCAGTGTGGGATATTACAACCTAATTATAACAGTGATGCACACATATATCAGAACAGTGAAAATACTCAAATAATAACATCATAAACAATATTCAGTGAAGGCATCTGTTCAGATAGGGAATAACGTTATTAATTCAGCAGTTAAAACGAAATTGGCTAGATTTCAAGGTTCGAACCGCACACTCATTAAAAGAAAGCGTCATCATAGCCATTTTAAGCTTAATTTTACTTCATTGATAAAGTTTTTCTCTACAACTGACTTCTTCACTTATTCGACAACGTTTCTTCTTTAAATCGATTGATTACAAAGCATACATTACCCGTTTAGCAGTTGAGTGACAAGCTAAGTCATACTACACATATATATCAAATATACTTTTGACAACAATTTCCCGTAGATGGAATCAGCTTACTCCATGAACACATGCACTTTGCTCTGTTTCTTCTGGTTTCTTGGTGTTGACAGTGTCGTTGCCCAGTTGTTTCTATACAATTGTATTTCCGTTGAGATTCCATTACGTCTATAGTATTCATTACCTGATAACTGTACTATACTCCCTATAAGAATTTCTTTTACCTCCTTCAGTTATTTCAACCGTGTTTGTTCTGACATTTCTAACTTTACCCTGTATGTCGTAGCAGTTTTTCGACAGTGCGATTCAACGTTTATGATTTATTATTCACTATTGTTACACAATTATAATACCGCATTGTAAAAAATTTTGGGGGATTTTACGCTTAACTCAAGCGTAAGCTTTAAAACATAGTCCACACATCATTTACTCATCTCCGTCAAACAATTCTAAAACACCAGAGTAGTAGTAGTATTTGTGCGAATTTCAGCTGGAGAGCGCAGTGTATTTCACAACCCGTAAATACTTCTTCTTAAGAAGAAAGCAACAAGGCGAATCTGTATATCATAGTAGGTGTAACTAAAAACCAAGAGCAATGGTCCAGATAAAACAAATACACTGTAAATACGGTTACTTCTTGATCTAGATCTGCACATCGTAGACTGGCACTCGTAACACGTCCATCTGGGTGCTGACGTTTTATTGACCCATCAAGAGTCTTTAAAGTTCCTTGTTTTGCCTGTTGAAAGAAAAAAGCAATATGATATTAATCAGTACAAATGAAATTGTATCATTATCTATACTTATTTAGCGATAGCTACTGCAAATAATAATGACTTTATATCAGACATTTTTTCCTTACTCAATACGAAATCTCCAGTATTGCAATAATGTACCAAATTTACTCTGGATACAAACAAGTAGAGAAATATCTAGCGTATGAAACGCTAACTTCAGAATGGATTTAAAAGATACTATCTAACCTTATCATCAAGAGATATTTAACCCTTTTTCGAGACAGAACAAGAGCATTGCTTATATCCTTTCCTACTGTATTATTATAAAATATTAATAATAAAATAATATAATGCTATCATATAAATCTAAAAGCTTTTGTTCCGTATCTACTACTTACATTCTAAAACTAATAAATCTTTCTTATCAAACATTTAAAATCTTCCTCCTCACCCTTTAAGTTCGCCAACCGGCAGTCTACCTTCTAGAGGGTATAGTAACTACGTTGTGTTGACACTTCTAAAACATGACTGGATTTCTACAGTGCTCTTAAGTCACAAAAATTGATAGACCACAGATGTAATTACCCCTACTCTTGAATATGGGAAGCCGTACTGCTTACAAACAACACCGAAAAATCTCAAGCAGATAAAAACAAAATAAATAATAGTGCACTAATAAATTACTAGGTAGGAAATTTTCTGCAGAAATGCCATATTTTCAAACTATTAAAAAAAAACATGATTAAGCGCAAAACACCTGATACATATTGCATGTGCAATATAATTTTTAAATCTGACTCGAAGAAATGGAATAAAGAAGTCTCACTTTATCTCTTTGCGTCGCCATAAGTGCACGTGAAACAACCATGGGACAACCTTTGACATCTCTAATTTGAAGTGTAATTTTAGCTTTCACCTCACATTCTTGTGCTATCTAGATGAAAAAATTGAGAACAAAAACTTAAAATATCTTCCAAGTCCACAAAAATTACTAAACAATCAAAGTTACATAAAGTTATTTAAATATTTTGAATTTTTGGAAGAAACAGGAGAATTTTTGGGAAACTTCTAAGCGATAGATTTCGTTTTAATCTTAAATTACATGCATACCAAACGTAATACAATTTCACTGCCACCATAGCGTATTACAGTGACACAGGAAACGTTAAGTAAAAAGACAAAGAAGGGAGATTTATTAAAAATAAAGCGATAGACACCTTGTAAGACGAAAGTACGGTGAAAATATAAACACAATTGAAATATAACTTGTCATACTATGTGGAGTTACTGTTTTCGCCTACTAGTCATCTACATATAACGTGGGAATGGTTTATTGACATTTATTCAACAAACAAAATTGAAAGTGCATCTTATATAACTACCTTTTTTCTATGAATTTAATTTGTATAAGGACGAATTTGTAGCTTATTGATAAGTTAATCAAGCAGATACACCTTCCAACATATCGTAATAACATTTGTGAAATGGTTGACTAAGTCGTTACTTTCATAAAACATGCTAATGTTGCATATTATGGCCATAAACGATTTGTAATATTATTCAACAAGTGTCAGTTTTTCACAATTAGTCCATTGTAACGTGAAAATAACCAAACATTTCAATATGTACTGACTTGTTCGGTAATATTAAGAGTGAGTGGTAAAAACAAAAGTCTTGAATTCTTATCGAGTTTTATGACCGATATCTATAAAGCAAGTTAGTATACAAACTGACACCGAAGAAATTACTAACAGCTAACACTCACCCGAGGATCATGGATAAAAGAACATCCTGTTTTGGACCCAGGAGGCAATTCTCCAGTTGCTGAGTACTTCAGACATTCTATGACAGTCTACAATAGAGCATATTATTATCGATGTAACTTCATAGTATGCACAATTTATACAGTAAAGGATTATAATTATGATAAATAATACTAGTCAGACATCCCACGGATCCTGTGTTTAACTATTTTTGGATCACTTAACACAGTGGTTAAGTTACGTGTTTTAGTGATGTTAAGAAGCGAGAGTTTGCTAGTTGACATAGACCATCCTTAATCACTACCACTAAGTACAAATAGGCTTTATTTAAAACATGCAGTTCCGTGAGGTGTGCACTATTTGTCTCCGAGTACCATAATTTGATAGTGGAACTCAGGAATGAAAAACGCTCCGTGAATTCATAGTACTTACTGAAACCTAGGAATTTTTCGTTGTAGTTAGAAACGCATGTCCTAGGATCAACTGCTAGCTATCTCCAATGAAATAATGTCTAACTAATAATCTTTGCCAGTAGAATTGCATGAACACAACACTTAACTCTGTTAGGTACACGAAAACAACTGTGATATGTGACGTAATTTATTCAATCAATTGGTAGTCCCCACAATAACGAATGTTGAGGATGGTTTCAAAATGAGAACAGACAAAAGGACACCAAAACTGTAAATTACTGTTTTCTATTAAACCAAGAGGATCATTTAAGATGTGCGAGAAATCTGAAGGTAAAAACAAGTTCCCATTGCGAAGCATCACATCTTTTGGGTGGAGTATTGTGGCGTGTGCTACTGATGCGATTTATCAGTAATATATAAAGGGACGTCCATCGGCGTAAAAATATCAAATAGCGGAGAGATAGATTTGACTTCAAAGAGAGGAAATGAACCGGCGTTGCGACAAAATATGGGAGATACGAAAAGAAGACAAAGAAATAATACGAAGGGTAGAAGTGGCACAACACGGAAGATCTGTGCACATGACGATTTTTAGATAAGGTGTACACAATTTCGCCATATAGGAATCAAATCCCAAGTAAACATTCCTTTACCATGTCTCTTGTTTACTACCGTTACAGTACTAATATTTCTGAAAGGAAAATATGTCCATTTACAAAATAACATATTGGAAAACAATTTCGCCACGCTCCAACTTTCGTTAAGTGAAATAAAGTGATATTAAACAACCAGTAACACTCGGCTTATTGGATTTTTATCGATCATTGAGTAATAACAATAAAAACAAAGAATCTGAAGATGTATGCGTATGGATGACAATCTCGGCAATTACTAAGCGATGTAGCGTTTCAAGATTAAATTTGTAACGGACTATTAACTAGGTCAAAATACACTGGAAACGAAATTTTTTCAAATATAAACTGCACAATTCAGCTTTTACACTGATGACTAACCGTTTTTCCTGTTCCATTTTGACCAAGGATTAGGGTGACCGGTGTGAAAAATTCAATTTTCTGAGGTGCTTCTTGTCCGAAACTCCTAATTCCAAGTATACTCATTCGCTCTATAAGAGCCATTATAACCTATATTATGTAGGAAAATATATCAATTTAAGTAACAAAAAATGCAAATCAAAATATGAACAATGATATGCAAAAGTGAGGAAAAACGTCATTAAATCTCTGAAGTAGTCAACTAAGTATTGATAAACTTTTTATCCCAGTTGACGGCAACCATTGGTGCTCGGAAGGATAACTATTTAAATCCCTGTAGTTGTATTTTGTTTTAGACATTATGAACACCTTGTTACACTGCAAAGATCAATAAAAAAATGGATGAATAGATTGTAATTATGCCTCGGTCCAATTACCCTCAATTTTATCACAGCTCTAATTTACTTTTAATACTTATCGATGGGATGGACAGCGAGTCGAATACCTAAAAAGATGATTTCGCTCTCTTAAGATTAACTTCTACACTGTCCAAATGACTATTTTACCATGGAAAAAGGAAGTATAACAGTTTTGTACAATATACAGCAAAAAAGGAGGAAATAAAAGGAAACTGAATGGCATTAAAATCAGGTTAAAAAGATATGATGAAGTGTACAAACACATTGAGATCAACGAAAAATCCTAGAAACTTTCACGATGAAATGTTTGCATCAGATCACAGCTTTTTTTACATCTAAACTTAGATGCCTCAACTTAATCAGAAAGTCTCTGTTAGGATAATTACTTATGAGGTTTCATAATAAGTCAAAAACAAGATCTCTCGATTAACCAAACAGCCAGGAAATGCATCAAATACTGGGGTCATAAGAACTTATTTTTTGAAATAGGTTAGAAGAAAAAAAAGGGTCCTTAATTTTAAACTGAACACAGAATGATTGTGATGTCAAACAATGGGAAGTTGGTCTTATTCCGATGGTTAATTCATTTTAGCCAGTACCAAATTATGTTCTTGTCATCGCCGTTATGATACTTAATATCAACCTTCCAAAATCGACGTTGGACTGTGAATCATAGAGTAATTATCTAGGGATAGCTTGTGGGTATGCACAATGATTATTGTTGCAATACAAATTGTAAATGGATATCGTTTATCCATAACACAATCCAGGCAAGGGTAGAAATGAATTTATTGTTAGTGGTACGCTTATTGGAAACATCCTTAGGGAGTTCCACAATATACGTACCGATAACTTTAACGAACTGACTTCGAGGATTGTAAGTTCGTGAACCAAAAGCACAAAATGGAATGATTCAGGGTGAGGTCTATGTAAACTGATCTTAATAACTGTAGAATCGAATGGAGTTTGGAAAAGAAATGGTCAGTTTAAGCAGCAAATCTACAAACTAAAATTCAGAAGGACAGATTGACAAAATTAGTTGACCGCAAATATATTACTGCTTTTTAAACACACACTGCATTACTGTCTTTAATTCAACCACTACTACTGAGTAGCACTCGATAGACACCAAATACCCATGGATAAGCAAACTTTTATGAGGCTTTGATACTGGACAGTTGTTACTGTAAGTTGAATTATAATTGTTTGGAAGTAGAAAGATGATGAACTGATCACATTTTCTTCTCTTTCTACTTACAGGTGCAGCATTGCTGACGATTTGAAGACGCTTCATGCATAGATATGACTTATATTGTAATGAACGCTGAAAATTCCATACCTGTACCACAAATACTGTTTGGAATAAAGCCATTATTATTATTATTAATTATTATTATTATTATATCACAAACAATGCGAGCATTTAATTGAGAATGGTTATCATCTATTATGCAGATATTCTGCCTTGAGTTAGTCATGGCGAACAATTCCAGTATCATAAAATTAATTTAGTGTGGATTGAGAGACAACAAAAAGGTGTCACTTGGACGCTAACAACTTAAGACTGTTATATGCAGATAACGGAAACATGTGATATGCTACATATATGATGTAAGCTACACGTGATGCTAAGATTGCTGTGTACTTATTGGGCATGTCATGTTTTAAGTTGGAAAGAGACACCGTAAAATTCAAAAACAATCAGACGATAAATCCGATCGGTCGGTTTTCGACATAGAAATTTGCACATAAGTGCGGCAGTTCAAGTCGCCACACTCCATTTAGCACACAAAGGAAGAGAAGTGCATAATATAGACAGTAAACAGAGGTGTGAGACAAAGGAATAGTAATAACGAAGAACAAAACAGTTTCGTTGGAAATCATGAGTCACAAGGAGTGGATGCATCTGCGCCACTGAGAACGATTTTGAGCCATGTCACCAATTGTTTCCAACCATTGGTTTTTACCGTCCCGAGGACCCCAACCAGTCAGGAAGTCTACACCTTCCTACGTGGCTTAGACTAACTGTTGTAGATTTCATTGACTGGTGCCATGTTTTCGTTTGACCGCCGTTAGCTCTTTTCCAGCCTGGCCCTATATCAGCTAACATTGCCCGTCGAGGAAGGCGATGACTAGGCATACGTAACACATGTCCTAACCATCTCAGTCGATGTAATTTCACAGTCTCGTCCATTGATTTCCCCGCCTTACCTAGCACTCGACGCCTAACCTCAATATTGCTCACCTTATCATACCACTTCACGCGGGAGATAGAACGCAGACACCTATGGTCGAAGACAGCTAATCTTTTCATGTCTTCCACTCTCAATGGCCAGGTCTCACAGCCATAAAGGAGGACGGAGCGGACTGTTGAGCAGTACACACGCCCTTTGGTCGATAGTCGGATATCGCGTCTACGCCAGAGACGGCGTAAACTGGCATATGCGGAACTAGCCCTCTGTATTCCTGCTGAGATTTCGTCGGAGATCAACCCGTTGGGGCTGGTGGTACTTCCCAAGTAAATGAAGCGGTCAACGTGCTCTACCACTTCACTTCCTATTTCTAATCTAGGGGTCGGTGAAGTCCAATCCTGCAGCATCACCTTACATTTTACAGGGGCAAATCGCATGCCAAACATACGGAGATTGTTGCTCAAGGTGTTCAGTAGACTCTGCATTTTGTTAGCGTCCTCGCCTAGAAGGACTATATCGTCCGCATATTCTAAGTCGACGAGACTACTCCCTGGTAGCAAGTCAATCCCTGAGTCGCTGAAGTGTGTTACGGTTAAGTCCATTAGTACGTCTATGATGAAGTTGAATGGGAATGGGGATAATGGGCATCCTTGACGGACGCCACTAGTCGTCACCACTTCAGATGACAACTCGCCGTAAGCCCTCACCTGACTGCATGCATACGAGTAGAGTGCCTTGATCAGTGCAATGTATTTCCTCGGCATTCCCTTTACAGCCAAGCATCGCCAGAGAACCTCTCGGTCGACAGAATCGAATGCCGCCTTTAGGTCAAGAAATATAATGATTGTTGGACGCCGGTTGGAATGCCTATGTTCTAGAATCTGTCGAAGGGTGAAGATATGATCAATACACCCTCTTCCTGGCCTGAAACCTGCGTGGTTTTCTCGTGTTTGTGCCTCCCGAGCACCACTTAGTCTACGCAGTATTATTGAGCCTAGGATTTTAGATACTATATTAGTCAAGCTAATCCCTCTGTGATTATCACAAGAAGATTTGTCTCCCTTCTTGTATATCGGGATGATCAGTGACTTACACCAACGCGATAGAACTTCCTCTGATTCCCAGACGCTGCCTAGGACCTCAAGTTAATGCAGACAGTAAACGACAGTAAATCCTCCAATATGTATATATCCACGGTGCTTCGTTTAAACAACATCCCCAGTTCTTAAACTCAAATATTACAACCTTTTGTGTAGCACGTTATATTAATGTCAAATGCTCGGAAAGAAATGCGGTGTTTGTATAAAATTCCTCAGTTGTGCAATAACACAAACAATGGCAGTACTAGGTCTCAACAGGCATGTGCATATTTCCATGCAATATATTGACTTCAAAAAGCCTCTTGGGAGTTGTACATGCTGGAAAGTAATAAATCAGTATGTCAGCATTCAAACTGCAGGAGAAAACTATTTGATACTTGAAAAAAATCAGTAGACCCAGTAAAACTGAGATTCAGGGGTATAACCTACCTATGTAAGCAAAGCAGATACATACCGGATGCAGGAACACAGAACAGAAGTGAGATATGATGTCTGCAGCAGAATGTATAAACATCGAAGAAATAAGTGGAAAATGATGAGGAAGGAGTGGCATCTTTTAGGTTGCAAAGTGACTCCCGCTTATATTGTGTAAATCGCATCGAAAGCTTTTTTGGTTCACTTAAACTGATGTAATTACTTGAAAGATTGCTTTTTTGTCCACTTCTTTGCGACCATGAGGTTTTTATATCATTCTGCTTTGGTATATATATATATATATATATATATATATATATATACTGACCTATAGATGTAGTAAGCCATCGTCTCCGTGGATGTGCAGATATTGAAGCAGTCCCTTGGGCGTTCACATCCAAGAGGCCGTAGGACTCATATCCAAGAGGGAAACAAGCTACCATCTGAAGTCGATGACACGAATGATGATTCTGGACTGATTCGTTAGACTGAGACAGAACTATATCCCGAAGCGTTAAACATAAAAGGGGCACAGTGTGCCCAAAACTCTGCTGCAAAGACAAGTGAAAAGCATCGAAAATCTAAGAGGGCAAGTAGTGCCAGCATCATAAGACCAGCTGGTGACAGCACCAAGACGAAGCACAGCATGTCAAGTGGACGAATGGCCGCTGGTTGTAGTGACAGCCAAGTGGAAGGAATTAGCTCCACTTGGGTAGTACTGAAAAGTAAGAAGCTGAAAAACTATAGGAAAGACAAAACTACGGGGTCCAGTAACAAGGTCTCTATGGCGGTTTATTCTGATACTAATTCGAAACATTCGGATTCTAATTGGAGTGTCGAAGGAAGCAGATCCAGCTGTCCGACATGCTCATGATTTCGAGGCAGTTAGCTCCATAATTTATGAAACATTTCCCAAAAACAAACAAATGGAGTCCATATAAGAAAGGTCATCAGAATCAAAAAACGAAATTTTGATGTTACGGAAAGTTCCCGATGATTACTGAAAATTGTACTGGGGAGCGAGATGGAGAAGGACATTATATTCAACAACGCATTGAAAATCAAGGATAAAACATGAGAATAAGGCCTCATTGACAGTTGAAAGATAGATTTAAAAGAAGGGAAGCGCAGTGCAACTAAAGACTCGAATAGAAAAATGGAGAAGGACCTTTAACTGTTGGGTCTCCGGGTGGTGTGGCTTCGGAAACCTATGTTGCCCAGACCTCTATTCGTGAGTAAAATGAACACTTAGTTGTTTCAGAGTGCTATATGGACGCGTGTAGTCTTAAGAATAAGGTACCTGAATTGGGAGTATTATCTGAAGGACTACAATCTGTTATTGCTATTACTGAAACATGATTGTTAGTGGTTGTAGACTTTACTCATACCTGGGTGCATCTGCCTTAAAGCAAAGTAATTAGTCGGAAAGGTGGTGGGTTTGCCCCATATATCTGGGGTGATATAAGAATTAGGTTAACGTTCTCAGAAGTGCATAATAGCGGCACCAGTAAAGCCACAATTTGTGAGATTAACTTGAGCAATGGTACTGTAACCATTCGGCTTATTTATAGAATTCCTGCCAGCCAGCCTAGTGACCTCGTACTAAATCACGACAGGGTATGGATTTGTAGAAATAGGTGTCTAATAGGTGACCTTAGTGCACCGCTTATAAATTAATAGGATTTAAATTCAACTAGCTTACGTACCTGTTTCAACAAGGAACTCACACTGACAGTGCTCGAATATGCACTTGTGCAGCTTATACATGCACCAACATGGCACGACCACGAACGTAATGTGCTTACTCTGGACTGTGCTAACACACCAGAAGGAGGATATAGGCGACATGATGCGCCTCTAGACAGTAATAACCACGCAGGTGTTACTTTTACGTTTAAGGTTCATGCTTTCATACATAGGTCAACATCTGCTCTACCAGACATTTGGAAAGTGGGTATACCTGGAATCCGAAATTTTGCAATCACAACCGACTGTTCAGTCGGTACAGACGGAACTGTCAAGGAAGCTCGGTTAGGATTTAGGAATACACTAGATCACGTGACCTCACCTTCTGCTGTCCCTTGATCTACACCTTTAAAGGTATTGCATAAACCACGTTCAATTGGTAATGTAATAAGATTATTAAAAAAGCGAAAAGACTTATGTGACCAGATTATTGTAATAGGGAGGAAGGACATTTAGATAAACTACCGCAGAATTCGAAACCTTTGTAGGTATATGACTGGTAAATTTCGTATAGAGTACGAGGGATAGTTGGAACTGGACTGTGTATATTATCCCAAAATTCTACTCGTATATTAAACGAAGGACTAAAATTACCAGTAGTACATCGTAAAATTATTAGCAATACTGGAGAGGCAGCCAAGTCAGATGAAGCGAAATTCTGAGAACCTCCCTGAATACTTTTGTGATGTTTTTCTTCTCTGATCGTAACACCTAGGGGTCAAGCAAGATCCCTACCACCGTCACTAAATGCCTTCAATTGTGATAGGTGACGCAGTGGTTCTAAAACTAATGTCTAAACTGAAATTAGGTAAATCACCTGGGGCCGAAAGGCTTCAGCCCATACTATTAATGCCCTTGATGGATATGTCATACATTCCACTTACGGAGATTTTTAAAACGTCTCTGACCCAGGCTGGGATATCCAGTGACTGGAAGGATGCAATTATATGCCCTGACCTCAAAGAGGGGAACCGGCAGTTAGTTTCTAAATACCCGACCGTAAATCTGGTATACACCATAGCAGATGTGCTAGAAAGTTATAAGCGACCAGATATTAGCCCATATGGAGAAACTTGGCTTGCTGGAGAAGGAACAGCATTGAATCCGACCATGACAATCGTGCTTAACAAACCTACTGTTAGCCAGGGGATATACACCAGGAATAAAAACTGCTGAACGTTGTTTTTACCTATCTTAGTAAAACATTCGATAAAGTGTCCCACTGAGGTCTCCTTAGTAAATGTGAGTGGTTTAGGGACTACCCAATGGATGGAAGACAAAAAGTAAGGGTTAATGGTGTACTGTCAGTGTGGAGAATAGCATTGAGTGGAGTACCTCAGGAAACTGCAGTAGGCCCCTTTCTATTCCTATTATACGTACAGGAACTACTGAAAATTCTTACCTCATCTTTACTATTATCTGAGGATGACATTAAGATTTGGAAAACCAAATAACAACGATGACAGGTCGGGCTTAGAAAGTGATTCAGATAAATTAACTAAATGGTTTAAACTTTACAGTTTGGAAATGAATTCCAGGAAAAGCGCGGCAATGGGCTCAGGCCAGAGGTCATATACGTCAAAATCCCCGAGGGAAGCAGAACTGCTTGATGTTAACGGACAAAAGGATTTTCGAATTATTGTCAGCCATGACTTGGCAACAAATGCACGCCGTAATTCAGCCGCAGTTAAGGCCTTTCGAATGCTAAGGGTACTTCGAAGGGCTTTCAAACGATAAGACGAGTTTATGTTCAAAGTACTCCACGCAATGTGTCAGCCTCATCTAGAATACTGCACAAAAGCAGCTAGTCTATGCTTCACGACGAAGGCACATATCTTGGGAGGAGTACAGAGAATAGGAACCAAATGAGTCAGTAGTATCTCACGCATTTATGACAAGAGGATGGAGCATTTAAATCCCTTCCCATTATACCGGAGACGTGACTTAATTTTAGCGTACCATATACTTTATGGTGGTTTCGGGATTGACCTTTCTAACCTTTGCTCTTCCTCTAGGATACAGTTACGAATTCACCACACAGCGGTGCTCAAACTGCAGACGAACAAAATACGTGTGGAATTTAGATTCTCTCAGTGATTAATGACGGGAACTCCTTACCGAATTCAGCAGTATCAGCCCCATCGGTGAACGCTTTCAAAGAGAAACTACATCTCTGCTGAGACATATACTGTAAGGATTAAAGAGTCTACTATCCTTATTATCTGAGGAACTGGTGAAGATCACTGACAGAAATGAGAGAAAATAGTCGATAAATAAACAAGCTTAACTCATAATTGATCAATATATATATGAATATACTATTTCTTAGTGGTAACTATGATCTATAGCAGCCCAAAAGGAAACTATCGAACATACGGACTTCATTTAAAAATAGTATTTATTTTGGTTACAGCTTGATGCCACACCGTATTTTTGGTACAATTATGGAATTTTCAGCATGGATATCGGTAGCCCAAATTTCGCAGGCCGACCATAGATATCGGGTGTGCGTCGGCAGGGGATCGAACCTCGGACCATGGGCATGGTCGGCGAGAGTCCTAACCACTGTGCCATCGACGCAGATCACAGACTCATTGAAAAGGTGGAAACGTGTAACCAACTGTCATCCCTGGGCTGTATTCACGACGGGCTCATTAATACGGACTATTTTGTTAGTCCTTTCGATGGGACTCACAATATTTTCATCGAAAAAAGAGGATGAAAGAAGTGAATGAGTCAACAAACACGAATATATGTACAGAAATTGGTTTAACCTGACTATGAGGACTCTTACGAGATGTTAGAAGGTTAGAAGGTCCGCCAACGACCGTAATTTCGTGTGCCCGCGAATGAGATAAATAAGTGGTACATTCTGATTGGACACTAGTAACTATTGTTATGCGTCTAGTCCTTTCTTTGGTGCAGACTGAATTCTATCAGTCAGGTTTGCAATGTGGCTACCATTCTAGGTAGCTCACACAGGTGAGCTTGTGATTGGTCAGTTTATCATTTGAGTTGTGGTGATTTCATACATTATTTAGCTGCTTGGTGAAGTTCGCAATTCCCAGAAGCGTTTTATCCGGTCAGCTGCATAACTGATGACACATACTATTACAGCGCAGGAGAGATATGAAATACCTGTAGATTTATTTGCTGAATTCAATGAATTCATCTCACACCAAGATCTAAGAACTTGTCAGGAGTGTCAAGAATGCATCCAACGTTCCGGGAGGTGATAACTTCATACAACTTCAATTATCGCTTGACTATCACTTTCAGAGAACCTAAAGTTAGTATGAAATACACAGCAGTCTAGTTAATCATGGTGAAAATAGCATGGTTGATGCAGCATACGAGTAACTATGTATAGTCTATTCTTGTCACGAAGATCAGAAAGCAGGCATTAAACGCCACAGTAAGTAGTATTATACATGTAGGCTGCATGTTTTTGGTTGACATAAACTGGGTCTCCATTCACTTCCAGAATTTATCTTCAGTTCATTTGGAATAAGCTACTTGAACCCATCAATATTGCGAGATTACATCAGTGAAAGTAAGTAAACACTTCCTTAATAAGACTAGGTAATACATTTAATTGATATGATTGTATTATTAGTAGTCATCCATCTAAGTTAATGATGAATCCGTTGCGATAATAATATCTATTATCATCATTGCTATTATTAGTCACTATGGACATGAACGCTGTCATTATCATAGCTGTTACTACTGTCATTAACTGCCATAAAGGCGTTGTCATTTGCATTAAGATCCTTGGAAAATACTGCATAACTTATTAAATAATTTTATCACTTCATGATGTTTCGTCGGACCTGCTAGCTATCAACCAACGAAAAACTGCGAAGTCCCTCAAGTTCAGTGAAAACTATTTGGTCTCGTATATATATACACTGTTTGGCAAGTGATTACTTGTAAATGCTTATCAGGTAGACATGTGGCAAAATTCAGATCAAACACGTACTATCGAAGCTAATAATGCTTTTTTGAACCTTTTCAGACTTAAGGAGAAACATATATGTGCTGTGTACGCAGATGGAACCCACTGACAGTAACAGAGGACTATTCATCTGAATTATCTGTGCATCCGAAATCCAATTTTTGTGTATTAAACACTTTTTCGATGAATCTGTGTTTCGTCTTCTGTAATGCGATTGTGATCCAGCATTATTGGTCACACATGCTAGTGTAAGAATTAAAGGTTTACAATTAGAAATGAAGGCGGCATCTGGTAGACGCTTGTTAATGCTATGGACAGATAGTGCCTTGCCATGTTCTGTGGCAGCGAACTGTAGGCATTCTGATTTTAATTATTATTATTGTAACCACAGCTGCACTGAGTTATGTCTAACACTATAAGTACAGTCTTTTCCTCATGGTACATCAAGACACGTAGAACTCACAATACATTATTTCACGTAGACTTATGTTCACCTTTTGACTATGAATCGCGAGTCAGTTGATGTGTTTTACTTAGACAATAGATAACTCAAAACGCTTTATAATCTCAATACCTTCTTTGAGATGTGGACATATTTACCTCCGAATATCTGCTTTTACTTTGTATTTCAAAGATGGCCTCATATACTCTGTACCTTACAACTTTCGCAGAGGCTAATATGCAAACGTACAACAAGGACAAGATTTATTAATGAGTTAATTACAATACAAAATCAGTGACACTGGAAATCTTATTTTATAGCACCCAACTTCATGAAATCCCTGAAATTAAGTGTTGCCTGGGAAAGAAAATAAGCAATCAAAAGATACAGACACTGTTACCATTATGCATGCAAAATTTAAGTGCTAGAAAATACTAAATAATGCGTTAAATTTTGTATACTTACGTCATTCGATATTTTTCAAGCAGACAAAATGGATATTTCATCTACCTGTACACATCAAGTCTGTGCCGTAAAAGAAGTCTATACTATGTGTGAATAATTCCTGAGTATTTCTGTAGATTTCCCTTAAAGAAATCTATGAGAAGGAGCTTTGAAACCATCATCAAAAGTACACAACAAAGTAACTGACAATAATTAACAAAACGAACTAGACTACCTCATCATGTCGATAGCTAATCTTTTTGACTCTAAAAAACATCGTTGCGAGTCGTTTTAATGTTTCCTCCAGTGATCTGGCATTTTCTCAACGAAACAGTACGTATTTCACTTATTTGTAAACTTTCCGTAAATTACGGCCGGCAAAGGACACTATCTTTGGCTATTTATGCTAAAACCGCTTCATTTCATCGACTTTTAACTGGAATACAAACATAAAAATGTGTAATACAACGAATACTTACCTAATTTTGAGGTTTCTTCAATAGATGTAGTTTGTGGTCATCAGCTGTTCAAATGACCTACGGCCGTATACAGGATGCCCTTGTTTCGTCATACACTCCGTTGAGATTTGTTGACCCTATCAGTTGCTATCAGTGTCTACGGTCCCGTGGATCCTTATGCCTTTCTAGAGCTGTGGTTATACGTGTGGTACTGTCTTGATCGATATTTCGAATTCGTGTATTGTAATATTGCATTTTTTGCCGAATTAATGTAAAGTGACTGTGTCGTCAATTGATACTAATTAACGAAGCTATTTTGGAAGATCATTTCAGGTATTCAGTGAGAGTGAAAGCACCACAGACGTAAGCGAAAGTTTTCGCGAAGTAATGTTGGGAAGGCGTTTCTTCAGCCCGGAGGAATCGGAGAATGCATTAAAAGATTTTTAAAAAGTGGGGAAGCTATTTAATGCTTGCAGTGTAGTTTTCCTACACTGACAACGTGCATATTCAGAGCAAAGCAACAAAGAATGGTAGGTTTAAGTACGTGTTCATCGCCTTTATATGCAATTTTGGAGTGAAGCGTGTAAAACGAGCAAGTCCTAAGAGGAAGTATATTATGATACTATGTATATTTAAGGTCCGAATTCGGCAGCTGTCTATTTTCATACCGCGTACTTTTGCATTATAGTCAATACCTGGTGACGTCTTACAATATGGTACATAACCATTCATGCGCCGCAGTATGATTACAGAATGATCCTCAGTGTAGACGACTAACAGTTGAAGAGAAAGAAAATATGGAAAGACTTCTTCAGCGATTGCACTCATCTAATGAAATAGTGGGACATTTTAAGGAGAAACTTCACAAGGAAATCACTCTTAATGATGTTAAAAATATGAAAGTCTCCGTTAATAAGGGTAAAGAGACTTGATGCGAAATAACTTCAGGAATGTCAAGTCGTAATGACATCTTTCAGATACTGAAATCTCGTTGGTAGTTGATTGGGTATTATTCAGACGAACAGATGCGAAATTCACTAAAGGGAGTTTGTTTTTCGACTTACGAGCAAATTGGGTTGTACATACTTTATCTTTCTGCTATTCTGCTGCTGAGATTACTCTTCTATATACCTCCTGGTCGAGGTCGAACAACCCAACATCTAAACTGAAATGACCATTTAAGTAAATTCAAACTCAAATTCCATGAACGATCCGACGCAACCACTTGAAAACGCTGGCTAACATTCTGTACAAGGAGTATTCTTGATCTGATACAAAGAAACAACTGGTTTTCAAGCAGTTTTCAATGAATTACTCAACTTACATGTACAGTCTGCCATGCTGACGCAAATGGCCCAAATGGATAGTTCTAGAATTGACCTCGGCCCCATTTGATGCAGTAAAACAATCTAACATTACCTTATCTAATTTTCGTATCAAAGATCAAATTTCTTTCCTATTATAAAACTACGATAAGACTGCTGACAAAAATGGAATAAATACATTATTGACTCAAAATAATACATCAATAAACTTTATCTCACGGATGCTGTTCACAACAAAGTTTTATAGGAGAATTGACTTCAAGCTTTATTTTTCCCAGATATTTGTATTACATTCATATGAAGTCTGGGTTTTCTATATCTCTTTATGTGTTACACAGACAGACTATTTTGCAGACTGCTCCGACTGACTCTAATGTCAGAAAGAACAAACAAACTGTAAATTCAACATACATCGAAACATGTGTAATTTATATAATAACATATCCATGTCTGTACAATTGGTATGTTCCTGCATAAACAGGAGTAAATAAATAAATGTTTAGAGATTTCCCCGGAGGCTATGGGTATCGACTCCACATACAATACAAATAAAGGGAAGTGAGTTTACTCATTCATTAATAAACATGTAGGTATTCTTTGCTCCAGTTTGTTGTTACGGGTAATTTCGGTCGTGGGCGATCAGTCCCATTTGCTTGGAGTAGAAACAAATTTAAAACGGAGACTTTCATCATGGATCGTGTATAGTCAGAAATCGCAGCCGTCAAGTTAACGCATAACCTGCACACATCGTGCTTTGTTCTTGCATCTTCGCATGCGTTCTGTGGGAAAGTACCTTTTTGTATATGTGATAAAAGGTTCAACTGTAGACGATGAATCCGATTGTGAAGAACTATCTATGTCGCCTAGTTCAACGTAAAAGGAGAGAAGAGTAATGCCTTAAATAATCTCATTTTCTAGATTTTACTTCTGTCTCAGAGTTATAAGCACACTGGATGATAGTGTTAGTCAGTGAATACAACAGCATTGGATGAGTTAACGCCACTTGCTTTCAATGGCTATGTGCTGACTTTGGGTAATGCTACGAATACCAGAGTTGAAAGTTCGCACGAACGAATGAAGAGTTACCTGCAATGATCAGATAGTCTGCCTAAAAATATGTTGAAGGTTTATAATTGGTGTAAGAAAAGTTCTTCAGGAATACACCAGGAGATGATGATAGCCGAGTCGCG